GCCCAGTGAAACACAGAGAGATACAAGAGCTGCTGCTGCTTCTTGAGATTTGTATATCTGTGCTCATGAGCTGTAGGGCTGGCTTATTTGAGAACCATCAGCTTTACAGAGAATCTTTGTTGCTGTAACAAATCCAAGCACCAGACCCACAGTCAGAGTTTAACGTGTCTCTGTTCAAAACAGAGCGCTATGATTTTATGAAAACATTACTTTTCTGGGTGAACTGCACCATATCAGTTCACTCTCATGGCTCATTTGGGGTGTGATTGACAGCTAATGTATCTACAGACATCAGTTAACATTATCTGGAATTAATTAACTTGCTGAGCTATTACTAACTCTGTAGGTCTCACTGCATGAGGCATGACAGGGGCTGTAAACATAAGTGTCCTCAGCCGTATATTTCCAGATTATTAAATGCAGAGCACCTGAAGCCTTGCTGAGAAGCTAGAGAACATCTATTTCAGTAGCAAAGCGGATGCCAAGATCTCATTGGCAGCCTACCTTACCGTGGAAACTTCTACTGACAGTAACATGCAAGGAAAAAAAGCATTTCCTCCTCAAAGAGGTCAGGATAAAAAAGGCAGAGTTGGCAAGTAGATAAAAATGCTGAATATACTTAATTTGAAATCAGTTAGGAACAGAAACATGAAAGCGAACGAGGCCAATCTACCAGCAGTTTTCAAGGCAACAAAAGGATGATGGGAATTCTTGAACGGTGAAGCAACTGGTTTTTTTCACTATGAGTTCTCTGGTTAGCCTTGATGCTTCCAAGTGCACCCCTTGCTGGATCTACAAATTAGAGACAACACTTCCTTTTCAAGGTTTATGCCTGGCATGCTTTATTACCATGTTTTGATCGAGAGCTAAATACTGAAAGATCAAGTCTCTTTTCCCCCTTAAGCTTTGGTTTGGCTACAGGTCTGTGAGATTATAATCCTGTCTTTCCCAGGTGAAGTTCTCCAGATATTAAACTGAATATATATAAAAAATGAGCTTTGTTTTTCTCTGTTAGGCATCATGTGCATGTGAGTGACAATCCCCCCAAGTGCACATGAGATACAATAAGCTTCCTTGTTGACTCTTACCTTTCTTTCAAGAGGAATTCAGACAATTAACTCGCTCCCATTACAGATTCATTCCCAATCTCACCCATATAACTTTTGAAACCTGATTATTTTTCTGCCTTTAGGATAATGAATTTTGTGCCCCTGTGTAAATGTTCAATTGGTGGGGAAAAAAAAAAAAGTCAGCTCAGTATACTTTTGATTTTTCTTGGGGCGCATTCAAAATGTTTTGTTTGAAGATGTTTCTAATTACCTATTTGTTAATATATAAGTGCTCATTTCAAATATGTGAGATAATTTTGGATTTTCTTCCTTGAAGAATTCCACCCTACTTTCTGTTGTCCTGAGAGAGTGAATTAAATTCCAGGTGGAATCCCATCATGTGTGGATTATAATTACTAGTCATGTAGAATTAATTAATTTCCATTGTGGCATTACAATTTGTAGACTGTCCCATAAAACTGGAGGCAGTTTCCTGTCCTAAAGAACCTTCAACTTAAATATAAAATAAGAGCTGAATACTACAGAGACATTACCCTGTGGTACTGAGGAAAGACACTACAGCTGGTTTTAGGGAGCAATCACTAAGCAGCATATATCCAAACATTATAAATGTTTTCTTAGACATCAGGGTAATAGTGGGTTTGCAGGCTTTTTTTGAGTGGTACATCTCAGTGTGCTTACTGAAAAATTGGACAAGTGGGCTCAGGTTGAGGCTCACCTCAAAAGAGGCAGGAGCCACTTTTCTTGCTCATAGTGTCAGAGTGAAAATGGGTGAGAAGGCAAGTAGAAAGACTTTCAAAGTGGAGCTAAGTAGTTTTGCTCTAGTTCCTTCCTCATGTTTACTGAACTGGGAGAAAGTTCTGTTCCTGTGCTGCTGAAAGCTACAATTGTGACAGATCTGCTATTGATTTCATTCCATTTTTGCCTCAGTATTTAGGAAGTGGCACTTGGCACTCAATGCATTTAGTATTTTCAAGGAGTTCTGAAGAAAGCTGCTTGTTTTATAATAGCTGTAAAGAAAGTCGAATATACAGCTCCCTGAACTGTTTGGTGGTCTGTTAGGTGGAGTAAGAAAAACAGCATAAGATCACAGGTGGACAAATAAAAACAGAATGTGCAAAAACTGTAGTACCCTGTGTCAACTAATAATGCCAAGGCTGTGCATTCAGTGCCCTTACAGACCGCTCACTTGAGAGTTGAACTTGATGTTTCTGGTGGGTCCCTTTCAACTCAGAATATTCTGCAATCTGTGACTTGTGATTATATCTGCAAAAGAAACACAGTACACTCAATGTTGATTACTGTATCTCGAGACCCTTCTGGGGTCTTCTTTTTTATCTGCCCTGTACAAGGAAAATTTATATTAGAGATCCTGAAGTTATTCTGATGTTTTGTGAAAAAAAATGTCTGGGGGACAGTAGCAAAAAACACTTTTCCAAACTTATTCAAATGCTTTCTGTGTTCTAAGGATGTTTTTCTGTGAGTTCTCTTAAGGAGCAATGGTAGCAATTTCCTAGACAAACCTGCATTTACTAATTTACAGAATGGTTATTTTTGAATAAAGGTTTGAATTAGCTGAAGAGTCGCAAGTGTAAAATATTTTTTGCATATTAATTGAAACCCAAAGCTTTAGCATTTAGGGACTTGAGCCACAAATACCATGAATGTAGAGCTTATAATTGAAACTCATGCATGAAAACATTGTTTGCTTACAGTAAAAAGTACTGTGCTAAATGCAGCGTCACAGGATCAGTTCTCTCTCTGTTAAAAATGGTATACACAAGTCACATTAAAGGTACCTTGATACTTTTGTTGTCTTTTTTTTTCTCTGTCTTGTCTTTTCTGCAGATTTATTTCCATTCTCATTGTAGTTCATGCCTCTGACATTGGCATATGTCTTTGAAACATAAAACAGCACATGGTCCCAGAGCTGAGACTTTCTCCATCCACATGACTCTCAAGCAGAGACCTGTGGACAGTTACTCAAAGTAGCCTCACAAAAAGCAATGCCTGGAGGCACATGTTTAAATGTTTTTATTAATCCCAGTGGGCATAAGGCATAGGAATTTTTGAGCAGGATCAACCTGGAAAAATTTCCAAAGAACCGCAGGTGCTTCTCTGTTAAGAAGTCCCCTCTATGCAACATGGATTAGGAGTAGTTTTAAAACTGGTTTGCTTGCCTGAGCAATGCCTAAAGTTATGCTAGATCAGAAAGAGTGTGTCAGGAAAATGAGCTCACAGTGGGGAGCTAAAGTCTCCTCAGCCATCCATGTAAGTTCCTCTTGCCTGGGTCCCCTGGGATATGCTGTCCCAAGGGAATAGTTAATTGACTTTCCAAAGTAGAGGGCCTGCTAGTGTTCACCCCGTGCAGTTTACCCTGTAAGCCTCTACACCAAATAGGAGCATAAAGGAGTAGGGTATGAAATGCACCTTTCAGTGGGAAGTGTGGTGGTGGCTCACTGGGACATAGTATTGAGTTTTGGTTGTTTAACTACGAGGTAGTGGGAAGAAGGAAGTGGTAGGAAGGAAGCTTCTGGCTTCTGCTAAAAGAGACAAATGATGATCATAAGTAGAAGAAATGGGGCATAATCCAGGCTATATGATTATATTTTCACTGTGCAAGCATATTTAGTGCTTACAATTTTGACTGCTTTTTACAATGTGCAGTCATTTTTAAGCATAGGTTTTTTCCAGTTTTTTTAATTTTTTCATCAATCCACAAGTTTGAAATAGGATGCTCTTTTTAGGATTAGCATGTGGACAATAATCTTGTTTCCCTCTCTCAATCCATTTTAGAGTTAAATGTGTCTTGTTAAAGTGCTAACAGTTACCTATCCTTGTGCATAGGCTAGCTCTACTAAAAAAGCTTTTCTACTCAAGGGTTTGATGGGTGACTTGAGTGGCAGAGTTGCAACTTGAGTTGCTGCTGTTACTGCCCTGGGCATGGAGAAACAACATCTGCCAGGATTACTTTCCAAATGTGATGCTGCTTCCAAGTAGGAGAAGAATAGCAGGGAGGCATGCATCCTACACAGAAGAACAAATGAAAGGGAGAGAAAATAAGTTTAACGTTTCTTCTCAGTTCATTCAAGCAAAATAAAGGCACAGTTCTTCCTTACATGTCTAAGTGTGTGCTCTTAGAGCATCATCAAAGGGAACACACAGGATTCAAAATAATTGAGAGAATCAAACAGCTCTGTTAGGAAAAAAAAAATATAAATATGGACAATAATGAAATGTGTTTTCCTTCTCAGAATCAGACCACCACTATGTTTATAAAAGGATCTGAAGCACATCCATATTCAAACATTTTCAGACTGTACCTGACTTTCCCAGTACACAGGCACTGGCTACCCAAACTCCATCCGTGGGCCTTGCCTGCCAATGACCCAGTGTTAAAATAAATCATATGAAGAGACAGGAAGATTAAGCAAGCATTTATCAGCCTGTCTCTGGCAGTTGTATTAGTATCTTCGTGTCTTGAACCTAATTTGAAGAAAGTGAAAACTTCATCCTCTCTACTCTGCTTTTAAAAAGGGCATCAAAATACACCACACATTTCTACCTCAGAAAAATGGAAAGTCACAAATATTCAAAATATGTAGGAAAGGACAATCCAGATTATTGTTTGGGACTCCTAATGACTGTCATTAGCAATTAAAAAAGGAATATGAGAAAAAACTTACTAATTGTGAGATATTTTAAAACGTTGAAAAGTTTTGGGGGATGTAGGAAACTACGTAATGTGAAACATTTAAAATTTGCCAAACCAAGGTATTCAGAAACAGACATACCATACAAAATATTTTTATTTTGTTTGGGTTCTACTGGTTATCTGCTCTCTATTTATAAAGGTCTCTTTTTGAGAAAAAAAAAAATAAATTAAATACAATTATATACCCAAAATATCTGTCTCGTTTTCTTTTTCAGCACAAATTGAAGTGATACCATGCAAAATTTGTGGTGATAAATCCTCTGGAATACACTATGGAGTCATCACATGTGAAGGCTGCAAGGTATGAGATTTTAATACAGCATAGTCATCATCATTTGCATTATCCTCAGGCACCTGTGTACAATGATATACTCTTACAAGCTTTCAAGGAAGTGGTTCCAAAGGCTGCAAAACCTACTGCTGATAAAGATGCACTTCATGCCTAATTTTCCTAGTTGCTTTCCATTTTATCAAATAGTCTTTAGAGCTACCTCCTTGTTTGAAACATGAAATAATTACATCTGATGCAGTGTAAGTGCTGACACCAACAGAGGCTGGCAACTGTAAGCCACACCTGTTCTACCTTAAATCAGCTTTGAAAGAAGTGGATTTCTTATCTTGTTTCCTATACAACCCGTGTAGCATTACAGTTGGCATGTTACTTCTGGTCAGCCTTTTTTAAGAGCTTACAGCTGTGAGTTTGGTCTTTATCTCCTTCTGCACAATCTGCAGACCAAATTGTAATCTCCAAAAGAAAGAATTCCTCTACATTATGAGCAGTGTAAAAGGGTCCTTTGTCATCTTCTTCTTAGGCTTTAGTGCTGGGGCAATTGCTGGGAACTGCAGGTTAAAGAAAAAGGGCAGATGGGGGAGGTGTATAGACTTGCTGCTTAGACATATCAACATATTATCTCAGGCATTAGTTCAAATGGCACAAACCAAACCCAAGCAAAGAGAAGAAAGGCTTCAATTTTCAATTTTAAAAATTGTCTGTGATTTTATTATCTAAGGAATTACATTATTATTCATGACAAATCAGAATCTTATACCACACGTTGGTATTTCAGTTTTAATTGTAAATGGGAAATTGCAAAGATTGCAAAGAGAGGCGGCATCTCTGATTTCTTGTATGTGGAAACACACAAACTGTTGTGCTTGAAAATGGGTGCCTATCTGAAGAGTGAAATCATAAGTCTGTACCTAATGCTTTACAAAGTATTAGAACAGCTGAAAAATCTGAAAATTTGGATGCACACATTTGCAAAAGAAGTATTTTAATGCCAGTTTCATTGAGAACTAATATAGCGGTAAAGACCGGGGGGAGGTTTCAGGAGCATTAACAATTGTGAGCAGAACAATTTGCAGTGTGTTTTTGTCTTAATGTGGCACTGGACTAGAAATAACCATCTTCTTATGACAACCACATGAAACAGGATTAAACTAATTGATCTGATACTTCCAAAATTGGCACAAAAGCTACAGAAGAAAACTACTTTAAGCAGAAAAAAAGCATCTTTTCTCAGAGCCCACAGACTGTCTAGGGGTATAGTCTTCCCTAGAAGTAATTAGGGTTAATGCTGGCCCTTGTGTGTGCCTCAAGAGGAGATGATACCACTGTGCTCTGTGAGTAGACTGCTTATTGAGATAAAGAGATTCTCTTCCACTTATAACAGTTTTAACCCTGTTGGGTTTGTGCCAGTTTTGCTGTATCAGATCAATTAGTCTAATCTTGTTTTGTGAGCCTGTGTGAAAAAAAGGTGTCGGTTTTTCACATCATTTCCACTGGGAGGCATCTCAGTCTGTCAGAGCTCCCTGTTAAGTTCTGGCAGTGCAGCTCTGCTATCCATTTAAGCATTTCAAATTTCCCAGCATTTAAATAGCTATTCACTCGGCCTGCATACTGGTAATTTCTGGCTCTTTTTGTCTCAGTTTGTTGGAAACCTGCAATGATTAAGAATGGAGGCCATGCATGGAAGACAGAGGTTAGAATCTCTCCACAAGCATGCACACATGTTGAGCCAGGCAATCCAAGACAGAATCCAAGACTTACAGTGCCAGTGGCAGTGCTACAAACTTCAAGGAACAGAAAATCCTTTAACTCAGTGTGCCTACATTAGCTATGCTGCTGCAAATCCAAATTCTAAGTGCTTAAGGGTCGTCTGAAACATTACTGTTGGTTTGTATGCATGCCTGCCTTATGCTGAACGTGCATATGCCATGGACCTTATGGACCCACCAAGTCTGCAGCTCTGACACTATTCTTATGGAAAGAGTGAGAAGACCTGAAGATGAGTTCATATCACATCTATCTCTGCAGCTCCTTCTTCACTAGGAAGCCGTTTCTTCTTTCTCTTGCCTACCCCCAAAACAAAGTACTTTGTACCACTGTTTTATCATGAATTAGAAAGTAGTTCATTCAGTGATTTGCTTTCTCAGACTGGCTGTTGGTGGTGGGTAAAGTGATTTGTTCAAGAAAGACTTGTTGTCCATGTTGGAAGTACGGGAAAATCAGCATTTAACTCCTTAGCTCCTCAGTAATGAAATACATCTTCCTTCCACATAAATGGAATTATTCTGATGTAGAATAATGTATCCAAATCTATATAAAGATACCATAAAAATAAAATTAATGGATTATCTCTACTTTATAAGACAACATTTAGATTTTCCATGGGAGAATGAGAACATAAAATTCTCCTCCAAAAAATTAATTACCTGCTGTAAATCAATTTTCTTATGTAACCCTTGATACATAATATGGTCCTTTTTTCCTTAGGAGGGTTAAGATGAAACAAATTCCTCTGAAATGAGATCAGCCTTAAAGAGAACAAAAAGTACTGCAGGAGAAGGCATTGTCAATGCTAAATGATTGTGTGTGTTTTTTTTAATATTACTGAATTAATTTGTTCTCTGAAATAGAGATTAGCAGCGTAGATGCTGCTAAAATCTAAAACTGAAAACAGAAAACCCTTTACAAGTCAAAACCAAGACTGGCTATAATGTTCAGCGGAGGCATCTGCAATTGGGATCCATTTAGTCTTAAATTAAAGGCACCTCTACTATATCTGGGAAGTTTTGCTCAGCTAAGATCAGTTAAGTTTCCACCAATAGTTTTCAGAGAGTTCCCCCCAAAGGGCACCTCTTTTCTTAAAAGTACAAATCGCAAACTTTAATTTCTATTTTGGATAAGCTGTAATCCCTGATAGAACAAGCTCGAGCCGGTTCCAGTGGGTCTCTATGCTTGACTTTCTGAACTAGCACTGCCGGTGTCCTTGGTGGAGCGCCATGCACTGTCACTGTCGCGGACACGCCACACCACCCTCATTCAGCTGGCCAGGACCTGAGCAAGAATTTGTGTATAAACTGTAGCAAGTGAATGGAGGCCTGTAGCACTGTTACCATGTGACTTTGTCCATTGCTTAGTATTAGCATCCAGCAGCCTATTATGCAGAGATGCTCTAGTTTTTCCTGATAAATGAAATCAGCTGTTGCTTTCTGGCTTCATTCCAGGGTGTTTGCAAGCCACCCCAGAAAGGCACAAGCATTTTGGTGTCACTTCTGGTGGCTGGTGTAACTGCATTAATGATATTTCTGCTGTTTCACTACTCATAGCCTCCTGCAGTGGCCAGGCTACCCTTCAGCTTTCCCACCACAACCTGCAGCTTCTTGCATTTAAAGTTGCCAGACTGGTTAGGTACCTTCTCTGGTTTTTTTCTCTCTGGACTTGCAGATGCTCTTGACTTTTTTTTCTTATTATTTATTTATTTATTTATGTATTTAATATCAATCTATTTCTTTGTGTTTCTCTTCACACCCTGTTTTCATTCCTCTTGTCACCTCAGCTGCTTCATGTCGCTTCTACCATAACGGTGCCCATTAGTGCCACCTCATAGCAGCTGGAAGCTCATAAGGACTTCGGTGTATGTACTTCCCCTCTAGCTCTCAGATCTCTAGACAAACAGCCTGTGGAAAATGCCATTGCATTCTCATGGTAGTATCTAAAGGTGTTGCTTTCTCCTTTGTGTGTTGGCTTTACTTGATACAGTCATTATATCCTGGTGCTTTTGTGAAGACTGAATTTTAATTACTTCACTCCTGAATCATATGCCTCTCCAGATCAGATCAACATTTGCCAAGCTGAAGTCTTGCTGAACAGCAGACTTCAGCTTCTCATGCTATGTGTACACACTAACAGTTACCAGTCTCTTCATTAAAGGGAGAAATGTCAAAACAAGTACTTTGAAGTCATCTCTTACAAACGCTGACGAGTTTTTCCTCTATTAGGATGAAGTATTAGACAATACAGGGTCATTACTGCACAATAAAAATGCATTCTGTAACATTATTTAGGTTTTAACAAAGTAGAATTATATTCTTTACAGAATACACAGAATACCTTATTATAATTAAATGTTCTTTACTACAATACCATCATACCTGCAGAACCACAGCATAAGTAGCAGTGCACTAAATACGAGTTTCCTGCAGTTGTTTGCACGCTTCTGTCTGTGTGTGTGTCCACATGCGTGCACACGCACATAAACATGCTCGTGGTAACACTTGGTCTTTCCTGCTCTCTCGCCCCAAGGGATTCTTTCGGAGGAGTCAGCAGAACAATGCATCCTACTCCTGTCCAAGACAGAGAAACTGTTTAATTGACAGAACCAACAGAAATCGTTGCCAACACTGCCGACTGCAGAAATGTCTTGCCCTGGGAATGTCTCGAGATGGTAAGGAGTCAAATTCCTGCTTCACATCTAAGCCCTTTGAAATTTCTCTTCACTGCTGACTTACTTAAACTCCCTGTAGATTTCTGCAAAGAGAGAGAGGAGAAGCTCCGTGCTTTGTAATGCATGCACTGTGAGGCGATCTTTGCCATCCGGTTAACAAAGAAGGCTATTTTCACGGGGAGGGATGGGGAAAAATCACAAAATGGAGAGCAGTATTAGTTTAGAACAGAAAGAATATGTTATTCTAATCAAAAGCACAGAGCACAAAAAGGTCACCTCTGGAGAGGTGGGTTTATATTAAACATTACATTAAACATCAGTGTTTATCTTAACATTTAATATCGGTGTGTGAAAGCATCCATTTCCCTGAGATCTCTAAAGGTCTGGTAGTAAGGAGTTGCAACCCAACAGAAATTTACAGCTTGATAGCATTGTGTTTCTGATTGTTTTATTCAGAGCTTGGCCAAATACAGTGCATTGGAAGTAACCCCATTTCTTTTACTTGCATGCTGCCTCCTCTCCCTATCTGGGTCTATCGAAGAACTTCTCCTAATTTAGCACTGAAAATGCTAAAACTGTTCACAATCTATGTCATCTCAGGATCCTGTGGTCCTTGTTTAGCTCTGGTCCACCTTCCAGACTGTGGTGTGATCAGCCAAGATCAGCAGGCTGAGAGCATGCATCACACCAAAACTGCAGACCATGGGGAGGGTTGGGCAAGGCTGCCCACAGCAGACGTGCCCTAGGCACCACTCCTTGTGCAGGGAGTTTCCAGCTCAAAAACATGTTTTATATAGTAAGAAAGTATTAGAAAAAAATGTTCTGACTTTTAAAAGCAGTTTATACTAATTTCATTTTCCTGAAAGCAGTTTTCTCTCCTAAAAGGTTTACACAAAATATGTGTTTTGAAATTAAGTTATCAACAGAGAAGTTGCTTAAAGAGCTATTTATTTAGACAGTCCACAGGCTATAAAACTTGTATGAAATTTGACCATAATAGGTCTTCTTCTACCTCAGTGTGTCTTATGTCTCACTGAAATTGTTTACCACTCTCACCAGTCTGGGAGGGGCCTTGCAATCTGGCCTTTAATCCATGAATTCTTTTTGGTCCTAGCATCCAGTTTACTTGACACCTTAGCTCCTTCATGGTGATTAAAGAAGTAACAATTCAGCAGTTTAACAGCACATGCTTTCCTCCTGAAAACAGTATCTTCCAATGATGTAAGGTATCACAGGAGCATTTTAATGAGACTGACAGTGCCGTCTTCCCAACCAGTAATTCAGAGACCACTGCAGAGAGACAAAATGAGTGATTCTTCCAACGGTATCACTTTGTTTTCTCATAGATTATGAAAGGGTCTTTATGATATCTTAGGATTAAGAATATTAAGAGCTCTTGCAAATTTACAATTGACTGTGTGAATTATTTTACAAAAAACTTTAGTTTGATTTTTACCTCTCAGCCATGTAGTAAATTCATTTTTACCATGACGAGGCAGGATGCTAATTGACAGCAGCTGGAGAGTACAATTAATGAATATATAATGAGAATAAACAGTGGATATTTGGTTTTACTACTGAGGTCCTAAATTTGAAGAAAATACACAGTTGCATTATTTAAAATTATTTAAAATACAGTCACTGTATATAGTTCATAAGGGTATGCAGCATACCATGCACTGATTCCAGGGGCAGGCTGGGCATTACTGAGTTTGTGAGTTTGTGTGAAGTAGCTTGTAGCCTGAGTGTAAGGCTGCAGCTAAAATGAGGTTGACAATAAGAAAAAAAACCTCTTGGTGTAAAAAAAAAAAAAAAAAAGAAAATAAAGCAGATGTCACCTTGTTGTTCTGGCACTGTATTTTTGCATTATGCTCTATTTTTTCTGTTCTGTTTCCTGATGGAAGAATTTCACGTTTATCCACACACAGGTTCAGACCCTTCTCAAGGGCTAAATGAGAGTCCCTTGCTAATAAATATGATTCTGAATTGATCCGAATTTCAGATGGACTGGAAATACACAGTATAGAAAATACACCTCATAATACATAGAAGTCTGTTTCTGGAGCTATGTCACCTTACCTGTTCTGATGAACTGTGCTGAATGTGTTTCCCATTCGTTTTAGAGCACAATCAACAGCTACCCCTGCTCTAAGACGCCAAGATCTAGCCCACTAGAAGACCAGAATTTGTACAAAGATAAGGTTGGAGAGTGATAATCAGCTGTGATCTACTGTATATACAGGCTGTGGATTTACTCCTAGTTCCACAGCAATCAGCCTGTCACCTTTGAACATTTCAATCTCAGTGTAATTTCTGGGGAAAACGGTTTGCCCTCTTATATTTTCCTCCCTTTCTTAACAGAAGGAGTGCATGGATTTGTGCATGCAGATTATTAAAATGGAGATTGCATAAATCCCCAAGACTTTGCTCAGTGGAAAACATGGCATTCATTTGTGCTGTTTACCTTCAAATTTGTTATTTTCCTCTAGGTTCTAACCTGTAAGATTACTTTTTTTTTAAAAATAGGAAGATAACACCCCATTGAAAAGATATGATAATAAGGCTTTAGGGCTTGTTTTCACCCAGAATGCTAATCTTGTTACTGTACTGTGTAAAGGTTTGTGTGAAGTTAGTAAATGGATATGAAATTACAGACTGTACATTTCATACAGCTCTGGGTTGTTGTTCTATGAACACAGAGTTATAAAAGAACGCATGGTCTTTTTAACATTCAGAGTTGGAAGTGAATTGCTTGACTGAGGCCCTCCTGTCGAATAGGAGTCATTGTTGTCACCTGGAAAATTCAAGTACACAGTATTTTTTCTTTTATGAGATGTACGTGATGTAAAGCTTTGCATCCTTTCTCATTTCCACAGAAAAAATATGTTTCCACAGCAAAATTAACCCTGAAAGTTAATATCGAAAGAGTGGTGGGGTTAAGGGGGAATCAAAAAAAATTTAAAGACAGCGGTTTGCATTGTGTTTTGCTTTTCAGCTGTGAAATTTGGAAGAATGTCCAAAAAGCAGAGGGATAGCTTGTATGCTGAAGTGCAGAAGCACCAGCAGCGACTGCAGGAACAGCGGCAGCAGCAGAGTGGCGAGGCAGAAGCCCTCGCCAGGGTTTACAGCAGCAGCATCAGCAATGGCTTGAACAATCTGAATAACGAAACCGGCAGCACCTACTCAAACGGGCATGTCATCGATCTGCCGAAGTCTGAGGGCTATTATAGCGTGGATTCTGCCCAGCCCTCCCCAGACCAGTCGGGGTTAGACATGACTGGAATCAAACAGATAAAGCAGGAACCTATCTATGACCTCACCTCTGTACCAAACTTGTTTACCTATAGCTCTTTCAACAACGGGCAATTAGCTCCAGGGATATCCATGAGTGAAATCGGTAAGGAAAACCCTTATTCCTGTAGTGCAATGTGTATATATAAGCTGTGCTCCAGTACTGTCTCCATTAAAATGTCATGCAGGCATTCCGTACACAGGTACGCAATAGTTACATGTTCACACATGTGTGTGTGCACACACATACAGAGAGTAAAGGAAAGAAAATCAGTCTGGAACTAATTGACATAATATTAAGGCAGCTCTGTTTTTACTAAAAATTACGCAGTTCTTAAACCCAGCATTTCCTTTCTGTTTATTAAATAGGAGTATCAAAGCAGGTGATGAATCAATCATAACCAAGTGATAATTAGGAGGGGCTTGTTTCAAATGAGCTCATTACTGGCAGGGTTAAGTGATCTCTTCAGCCAACCATCCGTATTCTTGTCAACACCCAGAATCCCCATAGCAGCTAATTCTAGGGTACTTACTGTGAAAAAGTACCAGTTCATACCTTGGCTGCACAGATGTCAATGCCAGAGCAAGCTCACTAAATTCATAAAGTGCACAAATGCTGAATGTATTTCTCTGGATATCCCTGATTCTCTGAAGGCCTTGGAGAACCTGTCCCATGCTTTTGTCTTTGACAAGTGAGAGAGACCTCTCTGTGAGGTGAGAGTGTTTGAAACACAATGACAAAGAGTGATTTTTGGCTAAGGAGGATTTCTGTTCGTCTAGTGCTTGTAGTTGTATTTCACCAAAGCCACTGGAAGTACTGCTTATTTACAAAGAAATAACATGAGTAAAGATTGGCATCCTAATTAGGTACCTGAAGAAGTGAAATATGCTGAATCAGTTGTGGCTGAGAACTTAATCAAAGGGTAACACTTTGTTAATGGAATTTAATTAAAAAGAAAGAAGAAGGAAAAAAGTCATCTTTGAGAGCACTCCTAACAAATTAATTCATTTAAAATAATGAAAAAAACTCTGTAGTTCTGGCCTAACTTTGCTGTCTCATGTACATGGATGTGCACTGAGATCTGTAAATGTGTGTGCTCAGACCTGCTGAGGACCCTGGAGATGTGGCCTCCACTCAATTTAGATTGCAGTAGTGGGATATATAGTAGTTACTGTCTGGTACAAAAATGAAGTTGCAGCTAAAATCGATGGGATGTTTTCTGCCCATATGTGCTCATGTGTAGGGGGCTCCATAACATTTTGTATGCTTCAGTTGCAAATTGTACAGGAGAAAGTTAAACTTTTCTGCCACTCTGTTTATTAGGACATGTTTTATTATCATTATTAGCCTAAGCCACTGTCCAGTAAAACTATGCACCCACTGTGTAGGATTAGAGATGAACATTTGATCCAAATTCCCTCTCAGCTCTTATGGCCATATGAATATTGTGCATGTGTCTACGTACCTCAGTCCTGCAGCAGTGGATCACACTACTGAAAACCAGTTGAGAGGCAGCTTGAGCAGTCCTAAAGAGCTGTTTCCCTGCAGACCCAGCACCAAAGGGAAGTGTTTCCTCAGAGGAGGTGCAGAGGTGCAGGAGTTCTGATAGTCCATGAATTCGGCTTTGTGCTCAGTTACAGAAATGAGTGCAAAGACAGAATCTAGCCATGGGACTGTATGCTTATTGGCTAGAGAATCCCCCTGAAGCCAATGGGACCTTTTGACTTCAGAGAATCAAAGTTTTATCTTTTTAATTTAAATCAATTTAAGTTTTGTATCTTGCAGATTCACTTAGAAATAATGCATCGTTCTTAGTTTTTCACCCATTTATTTCTCTCCGAGCTCTAAACCATCCAGCCCTAAATCCGCCCCATATTTCCAAGTTTTTCATCCTCTTCTGAAGCACACAAAGCAGGAAAAAGCCCAGAGCAGAGGGAGTGCTACATAGGAAATGGCCTATCTCTGAGCTGACAGAAAAATTCAGAGGCTCTGGGATTTGCCTCTCTTCTTTTTGAAATTGAAACTAGGGCTCCTAAATTGCTGTGATTTTACACAAGTACTGTCATTTGTGGCAGTGAGAGATAATGTGGTGTAACAAATCAGATGACACAACTGGAAGAGGTGCACCCTAAAATATTTGGATTAGTGCACAGGTAAATGATGTTTTCAGTGTTTAAAAAGAAGTAGAAAATGCCTCTTAATGCTGCAGCGGATTGTTGGACCATCTGTAGAGCTGCAGTCTTGCAGTCCTTGGATGTACTGATTTTATATTGTAGTGTACTTAAATCTCACTGCAGAATTGCCTCTCACTCCAGTGACATTTAGGAATAAACTCAGCTTATGCTAAATAGACATTACTGCTTTTAACTGTTAGATGAAATCATATGGAATATATAGAAGATAGAAAAGCTATACTACATTGATCCTTGTGGCTGATAGAAATTTCTTTGTACCTACATGTCTAGTGATCTGGTGAACCACTAAGTATCCCAGATCATGATAGTTCTTTTCTGAACTGATTATTTTCTACCAGATAGAAACTTCCAGTCTTAGCTTTCTTCAGGCCCTTGCATTCTACAAATAAATATATGTATATAAGCACAACCTCAGCTGCCACTTGCCTGATCTTGAGTGCAACCATCTTATCTTTTTTTTCCTCATGAATGAATGTGTGGGAACTTCTTTCATCCTTGAGTTCCTAGAAGTTACTGTAAGCTCTCCAAGGAGCAGACTTCTCCACAAGCACTCAGAACAAAAGTTGTCTGTGCAATTTCTGCATTAAATGTCAACCAAAATCTAATTCACTTACTCCTTTGGTGTTAATACTTTGCTTGTTTCAAACTCATTTCTCTCCTGGGGAGGGCATTTTTTATTAAGATAAAGTTGACTGTACACTTCCAAGTCTGAATCTCGTTTTCTCTTTCTTGTTTTTCTAATCTTTTCAATCCTGTCACATTATGTCTCAGTCTTCATTGATGCTTTGTGACTTCTTTCAGTTTAGAATTGTCTCTTAACCTAATTAGCATGCTATGAACCTTCCCTTTCAGGTTATTATGAAAACGTTAAATGCTTGTAAAACAAGTCCTAATAATGGTCCCTTCTGCACCTGACTAAAATACTTGCTGCAATTGCATTTATTACTTTTAGTATTTACATTTGGCTTGCTATCCAGCAGTAAGCTCTCTGTAAAATCCAAGTAAAAAGTCTTCCTTTCACTGTCAGTTTGATTCAGTTATAAAAATAATATTTTCTAAGATACTCTATGACATAATTTACATGCTCTTCTTCACATGTTAATTTTCTAGTTCCACCAAGAAGTAATCTAAATGGTTAGAGCTACTTTGATCTTTAACAGTTCTATGCTTTAATTTGAATGTGAAAGTGTTCTTTTTCACGAACATACATTCATCTACAGAAGACTTTGTAGTGGAAATGGAAATTTTTCAATTTAACTGTTTTGAAATGCAAAATTTTTTACACAGCAACTGTTTTGACACATAGTATTAGAATGGAACAGCAAGGAAAATATAGCTTATCTTGTATTGCATTACTGGTATCTATATACTGTGCTAGCAAGTAGGAGCAGGAGAAATACATGCTAATAGATCAAGGTTATACAGGGCTCTGTCACATGTACTTAGTATTATTGTATTTCTCCAAATTAGTTAAGTAGACCAAGATACAACTGCACATTATCTGATCTCTACGAGAAGCAGGATAGGCAATATCTCCTATGAAACAGAGGGTTAACTACAACAAAAAGCATTTTCAAATACAGTCACAAATTTCTCATGTAGCTGTCAGAACTTATGATGAATAGAAGTTGTACAAAATCAGGTAGTTCCCCATTAAGCACAGCCCTCATTAATATTCCACTTCCTGTTACCAAAAAAAAAACCTCAAAGCATAAAGACACCACTCCAAAGCCCATGAATACACATACGGGAGCAGAACCTCAACTTGTCATCAAATGCATTTCCAACCCACATCCCTTTTCTTTAAAGGGAAGTATTTTTGTCCTTAAGTCAAAGCATCTTGTTGCTTGATACAAATTTAATACTTGATACAAATTTGAGTGGACAGAACACAAAGTAGGTGAGGTGCAGTGACCACATGAGTTAAGCAGGCTCTGTCACTGCCTGTCATGGGTGGCATGATTCAGGTGTGTTCCACCAGCCAGTGATGCTGCCAGCACGGGATACACCCATATCCCAAGGGCTCATGCTCCCAGGGACTTGGCAGCATGATCCTATTTCTCCATGACCACTGTGCCATCTACACAGCTGGGAAGGCAGAAATTACGCTGTGGGATCTCAAACCATGGGGTGAGATCTGCTTGCCTTGTCAAAAGCAAGAATTTGGTCATTTGCAGATTGGCTTTCTCCTCACACAGCACATCACCAGAGGTCAGCTGGTAGGTGGGAAGTTCTGAAGTGAAAAGGGAGCTCCAGTTCCCGATGGCAAGCAGTGCTTGCTCCCAAGTGTGGGTTTAAATTAGGAGGCACAAAAGGCTTATTTTTAGACTTGGTGAAATTAAAAGACTATCTTGTTTAAATATATGTGCATAGTATTATCTGCCACAGAGCTGAACACTGCTTTTTTATCACTAAATAGGTGGCTCCAGTCTTGGTCTGTAAAAGTTAATGTGGGGCTTCCCTGCCTTAACTGCAGTTAAGATTGAGATTGGCAGCCAGTTGAGATTGGCAGCCTATGATTTCTTAAGGACAAGAGAAAATTACTAGCTAACACTGTTGAGTAGAAAACAGATTGGTTAAGCATTCACTGCAAGTCAAGCTAAAGGGTGTCCTGTAGCTGTGCATATGTAGGTAGTCAGTAAGACCCCTCTAGAGTGTACAGGAGATCACACAGTCCAGCCTCCATAATTACAGATGAAAGCGTTGTTTACATATATTTGCATGACATTTCTTCATCAGGCCTGTATGAAGGTACCCAATGGCTTGGAGAATGGCTTACATTCCTACCAGAATTAAAGAAAGGTGAGCTTAGGTTTGACCTTCCCTTTCCCCAGTCCTTCTAAGCCTGTCTTGCTACGTATCTCTTAGGGGGCAGTAATTACCTAGGACAGATGCCTGATGTGGATTGGAGGCATCTACCTGCCTTATATTGTACAGGCACAGCTCTGTTGACTCAGACACATAGACTGAAAGATTATAGTAAAGGAAAACCCTATTTTTTTTTTTAAACTTACTCAGGATAGGTATGTAAAAGAAAAGTCCTCTAGGTGACCACAAATGATATTCTGTGCACTTTTATTTAGTCATTATTTAGCTGGATTCATACCTTCATCTGAGGACCATAATGAACAACTTTGTATTCTGTGAAGTTACTTGATTTCCACTGCTGCAAAATTGTACAAGCAGAAGTTATTTCACTCTCTTTCCTTGAAGGGAGATCATCACCTGTAAACATTCTGAAGCTTCTGCTGAAGATCTGTTTGAAAGCCAGCCCCACACCTTTCTTCTTTCAGCAGAAATCTTCTCATTAACTTTAGAAGAATTTAGTTTATTCCTTTATGTCTATACTTGTCACGGATATCCACAAAACCTAATGTTGGACATGCAATATATAAATATATATCAGCATCAGACCGATACCTTAAAAAGTCCGCTATGGTTGGGTTTTGAAAGCACTTCTCGATGTGATAACCACTTCTCTTTGTAAAAGCACTTCTCCAAAGTGATAAGCAATTCTCAATCCTTAACACCCTTCTCTTTATCTCCAGGGTTTTTCCCTGTGCCAGATCAAGTGCTAACAGACAGCTTTCTGAACATATATTGGTCAACTAGATGCTATTTAAAGGGACACTCCAAACCACCTTCAGAATGAAGCGAGCTCACTAATTAAAGCCCATACCTAAGGTGGCAATAGCATCTGTGTTTATGTTCCCTTTACAAAGCCACCACCCACCCTGCAGTGAAACAGAAATTACTTTTTTGTAGTCCTCTATAATGTTCTTCTGCTTCTTTTTCTAGGCCACGGTTTAATATTCCTTCTACCAACATGACAGTCAGAATTTTACAGGGCTGCTGTCTACACCCTGGCAGCTGTATTTAAGAGAAGCAATGTTGCCATCTAGTGAGCATTGAAAATACGCAGTGTGAATTTTACGCACATGCCGTCAGGGCACTCTATCTTAACATCATTACCTATTTAAAGATGACAATCAGAATACGTTCATATTTCAATTCTATTCTCATTTCAGTTCACGTGACAATACTTAGCACTTCAGCTTGTTTTACAAATGAGCTAAAAATATGCATAGACTGGTATTAAAAACAACCTTATCTATAGGTAACTTTTTTAAGCATCACAATATAGTTCTTTAAAGAGATCAAATGTCTAATCCTTTAAATTTCTATAAATTTAATCCTTTTCTCCAAAGATGAGAACGTTTTCTTCTGTGACCAAACTTGGCAAAATATGTTCATTCTACTGAGAATTCAAAAAAAGCAGTTAGAAATCAACCATTTGTAGCAGTCAAAATATGTAAAATACGATATCATACATCCCATACATTACCATATATCATGGCAGTCTTTTCAGGAATAACATTGTGCTGTGAATATTGTCAGATTACAAATCACACAGAAAGATCAATGTAAATCCAATGGTGTGATAAGTACTGAGGCACACTGTTGCTGACAGTTGTAAGAATAGATTTTTGGCTGGTTCCCTGTCATATGCTTTGGAGCAGCAGTGTCAATAGCAGAAATTACTTTCTGCAAGTAATGCTCAAAAAGAGAAGACTGGAGCAGGTGCCAGAGCACAGAGGGCCTGGGATGTGTGAAAGAACCAGGGTTGTGACTCACACACAGCCCACAAAGAGGCAAACTGTAGACAAGAATTGAGAGGACAAGGAAGTGATGCTTTAGGAATCACTGTAGTACATGGAAGTGGCATGCTAGCTGCCAAAATTGCTATGGTTTGAAATAGTGGTTACTTGCTGCTTTTGTCCTCATCTGCATAACCCCTCCGTGGATTTAGTGTCAACTTTGCCATCAATGTCTGGTGTTTCTGGGCAGTCAGCCCCAACAATTACAAGGTAATTGTACTTTGTGTGAGGTTAGCCTGGGGTCCCTGTTAAATTTCTTTGTCATCCTGGATGGCACTGGTTGATCATTCCTTAATCCTAAATCACAAGGGAGGCGTCAGAAGTTTGGGGTTACAGTTTTTTTCCTTTCCCAGTGCACATGCTGCATCCTAAGTTTGCTTTTCCAAGGCTACAGTCCAGTTTTGCAAACTGTGTGCTTTCTGTCTGCTGGCTTTCATCACTCACTTCATGCATTTCACTACTTTCCACTTTATTCCTGAGAATAAGGTAATTCTGCTTGTTTTGCATTTTGTGATGCTGTTTCCAGCTTCATAGGTAATGATGTCTTTCATCAGTCCATTCAGCTTTTGATATTTTATTTCACAGAACAGCAGCAATTCCTTTATACAAGAGTGAAAAGATATAAGAATTCAAGTGAAATGCATGAGAGAGGAACATAGACGTGCACAGTGGAAAAATTCGATGTGACAAGACATAGGGCTCAGAGACAAATGCTGAAACTGATTATCAGAATGCAGAATTTATAGTGCCATAATCTTCAAGGAATGAAAGTCACATGTAAATGGGAATAGTTAATACAAGATATTAAGGCATGGAGCCCTGTCTTGTGTTCCTTTTTGACTGCATGGATGGCTTTTCTTTTGATCAGTGAAGATTCTGTCATTGCTTATGATAACCAAGTTATTCCACTTTCTGACGCTGTACACTAAAATCACTTTCATCCAACTCATTTGCTACACTACGGGAAAATAGAACCATTGTAGAATGTTTTGTCATTACTTTTTAACGTGTTTCTATAGATAGATTGTTTAAAATCTTTATAGAAAGCTAATTTGAAGACTGACAGTGAAACAAGTGCTAATAGATATGTTAACCTTTCCCAGCTTTTTGCAGGCTATGACAGGGCAAACCCTCACAAACATGGTTTAAACCAGTAATATTCTAATTATTCCATATATATTTCTCAGTTTAATAGACAGCAATGTTCACTTCAGGTAACATATACTTAACTGTAAAAAATGAAACCACTCTCTTGTTTTAGAACTGTCTCATTTTAATATAAAGGTCTATCCAGCCTATGTTGGAAGAAGCTAAGAAACAGCTCATCTCAATAAATTTGTGGTAATTATGGTGCCTTTAGAGTCCATTTGAACTCTAGCTATTTCCTTGGTTAGTGCTTTTGCTGCCAGTTAAATGATTTCTAATTTTTGCCAAATTGGCTGAGTCCTAGGAGAAGTATTACTAAGTAGAGACCATTAAGCATTTAAAAAAATCCTCTAGGATCTAACAGAATTTCTGGGTCCATCTTCCTTAAGATAAGGACTTCATTCCATTCTGTTGCCATTTTCCATTGTATTCTTTTTAATATTAAATTATTACCATTTTTTAGAAAGACAAAGGAAGCACTGATGTATTTTGAAGGAGAGGCAGTAGAGAATTCACACACATAACAGTTACTCTCTGTACGCTCTGCTCATGATGTTAAGCATTCAGTATTAAATGTAAGGAAAGGTTGTTCCTGAACTAAATTCTAGCACTTTTAGTCTCATATGAGTGTTTTTATGTTTCATAATAACTTCCTAGGCCACATATTGTGTAGTGTTGCAAATTTATTAAGCAAATAGGGTTATGAAACTAGCTTGTTTTATAAAGGGAAATACTTTTTGCATTTTGGTGTTGAGAATGCCACAGACAGTGAAAAATGGAATGAGTTTTTTGCAACCTGTTTCAAGAAAAAATGTTCCTGTTCTTCTCCCAAAAAAAGAAAAAAAAAAAAAAATAGTCAGGCTTTTCACCCAGTTCATGTAAAAAAATTGAGACCTATTACTCATGATTTGCAGCAACTACTGAGCTATTTTTACTTTATTAGCTGTGTCACTGTCTCTACAACTGTCAAAGAATTTAAGAATAATCTCAATTCAATGAATTCAGTGATTCAGTTTTCAAAAATTTTCATTTTGTAGTCATAATACCCTTTAATTAGCATACAAAAAAGTGTTGATCCAATGCTATCTTGCCAAGTTTTTAGGTCTTAGAACAGAGATTTTATTTAGAATGCCTGGCTGGAGTTTTGTTATGCATGCTTACAGCAGCCAGCCAAAGCTGTGATGTTACTGCAGCATTAATTCAAAGTGGATCCCTGCAAGAGCTCAACTTAGGATATAAGCTGAGATAAGCTCTTAGCTACCCAACTGGATCCTAAGGGTAAGTGGCAAATTAAAGATTCATTATTCATTTTAATTGAAGAAGATTATCACTGTTTTAGGAGGCATACTTCAAAGTTTTCCAGTTCCCTGTGCAAAAGAAGGGAATGCTGAGAAAATCTAGAGTCTCTCCTGAGAAAAGAGAGACAAATGAAAGAACTAAGGAGCCTGTAGGAAACAAATGGTACGGTGGATAATTTCCACTTAGCAGGCCAAATTCACAGCTGGTGAATGTTGTGTGCACTCTGTGGATTACATCCATCCCCACTGGCATTGTACTTGACCTCAAGTTGGAGTTTTTCCTCACTATTGTAGCTGGACATCTCTGGACATTGCAAGGAAGTGCCTGAAAAAGGCAGGACTGATTTATCAGCTGATGGTGGACCCCTGTGGGTCAGTGGTATGCTGATTTTGATTGCTATCTAGGTTGCAATGTTCAGTTTTTTGTATGTACCCATATTTAAGCAATTCCTACTCTACTGATGCAATAAATGTTTGAGCAATTGTAGTCTTTGGAGAGTGCCTTTGTGAGGTAACTCTTGAAATCTAAAATAGGAAAGTACAGGGAAAAGAAGAAAGGGAGGGGGGAAGAGCAAACAAAACTGGGAACAGAAAGGGTCATTCTGCAAGCAGTGAGCTGTAGTCCCAAGTTTATGTGCTGTTGCTTTTCTCTTGCAACATACACTTTTGGCCTGTTTTGTTGATAAAATAGGGCTTTCTGTCTCCCCAGTCCTTCTGTCAGGGCTGTGCAATGACTCTTTAGTTATTCTTCAGCTCCAGTGAAATGATGCAGCAGTCTCAGACACTTGAGTTCCTACAAGTTTTGGAGGAGTGACTACTCAGTAGATAAAGGAGATAGACAACATTAGGGAAAGGCAGAAGCCACTAGCCAGTCCCATGTTCACCCCCAAAGGCAGTGGCTAATGACCAGTCAGACAGAGCACACTGGTCCCTTGTGCACACACATGATGCCCTGTTACTCAGCCAGATGCTGGGGATGGAAGGTCAGGCGGGGGTGGTATTTGATGCATTAAAAAATGGATTTTTTATGCAAAAAAATGGGGATCCAGGTTTGTCACACCGACTTTGCTGTATAGCTTCCTTCACTGGGCACAGTCCTCACAGAATCAAATCTCTTGGTCCTGTCTTCTGTTTTGGGTAGGCCAGGACAAACGTAAAAAACATTTCTTTTCCTGAAACAGCATTGATTTCTCATGGCCCTCTTGAGCTTGTACAGATGTACAATTTTCAGCTTCTTCTGGACATCTCCCTGCTACACATTAAACTTTTAAATTTTTTTAACTGCTGCATTGCAAATTCCAATTAAACCATCTACCCATTGGTCTGGCACCTCTCCAGGCCTCACTAGGCCTTGCTGCGGGAAGGGCAGCAGGCCCTGTGCTGCGTGGAGCAGGGACCAGACTGACCTCTCAGGTTTCTGCTCTCTAGCAGTGCCAACAAACACCATCTGGATTTCCTTGTCCTCTAAGAAGAGATGAGTCTCTACAGCTAGAATACCAGGCCATTATCGAAGGCCAGTCAGAGACATGCAGGACTGTAATGAAATACAAGTGGACATACCATGATGTATTTTGTTTGAGCATTTCTGGTTTTTGAAACCATTGGTTACAATTATTGACAGTTTCCTTGACTGAATATCTTGTTTCTGGTTTATCACTCTGGAAGAAAGTACTTCTTTCCAGATTTGATTTGTTTTGTTTTTTTTTTTAATTAAGCAGAGCTTTTGTAGAATAAGTGTCTGCTTTTCAAGAAAAAAATTCAAGGTATAATACTAATACTAAGAAAACACTATTTTTCCAATAATCCAGTACTAGGAAATTCTAAAAAATACTAAGAAAATATTAATTTTCCAATAATCCAATACTGTGGAAACCTCCAATTTAGAATCAGGTTGCCTAATGCAAATGCCTCCTAGCATATATCAGAGTTTGGATACTGGGGACATTATTTTCTGTGGGCCATGTTTCCCAGACAAGTCAATCTGCCAGGATATGCTGTGATTTTCATATATCAAGTGATCAAGATAGGAGATTTAGCCCTAATGTAATAAACCCAGTATGCAGGCAAAAGAGGAGGGGTAAAGCACCTAGTCTACATTTGTTTTTACGTACCGTGGCAGATAGATAAGCTTTACAAATCCTGCAATTTACAGGCTGGTGGTGTACTGTCATCCAGGCTCAGGAATTCTTCCCATTAGAATTACTGATTTTCATTCTATAGTGGGAGCAGTTGGTCCTTAGAAAATAAAATGTTACAGTCTGAGTCTCACACCCGTGTGGCCAGAATATCTCTTTTCATACTACAAACCTGTTGTAACTTAGCTCACAATGGGAGCTGACAATATTTCACGTAGAAATGCAGTTCACATTGAAGCCACAAGAATAGAGTTATCTTTTGTAGTCCTTGGAGTCCATCCAAACAGGATTTCTAGCTGTGTCCATGAGGTTACCCAGTGGTAAGGGACCCTTGAAATCTATGGCCCAAGATTTTTGAAAGTAAAATCAACCCAAAGTCAAGACTTGATATGTGAAGTAATTGTTGTGGACTCCTCTAGCCTGGAGAAGAGGAGGAACATAGCTATTAGATTACCACCCCTGCAAGGTACCTCCACGGGCTTTAGATTTCTGCATCAAGGCAGTAACTCTCTTCTTATTGTGCATAGATGTTCTCTTGCTTTCCCCATTGCCCATTACTTTCTATTCTATTAAAGGAAATAATCTGTTGAACTTGGTGTTCAGTATAGTTCAGAGCTTCCAGGTCTCACTGAAATTCATGTATTTTGGGTACAGGACTGTACCTGTGATAGGACAGGTTTACATCTGTTGTCATGGATGTTGTTGCCAGTGGTTTAGGAATGTCATTCTTGGGATTTACCAAGATGTATGCTGACTCCAATTTCATTACCAAAACGAATTTCATTTCCGAAACGAAAATGTAAGGTAGGAAAAAAAAAGCCCACAGTCTGTGAAACTCTTTAAGAGTGACTTTCCTTGCCTGTGTTGGATCTTCTGTTGCTGGACCATCTGAGAAGCCAAGACAGGTGTATACTTCTTTTACTTTTTGCATCATGTCAGCTCTGCCACCCACTCATAGGCTGCATTTGCATAAAGCGCCTTCCAGGCACTCCTGCACGGAATGTAAGCAAGCAGCCTCCTTTGCTGAATGAGCAGTTCCATCTCCTCAGAGACCCAGTGTACCCTTTCCCTCACACACTCAGCCTTGCCTAGCCTGCGGCACAAGAGTTCCAAGTCTGTCTTGCACCTGATTCCTTTTTGGATGTCAGCATTCAGAGCTGCTGCTTGCTGCGATTGCCCCAGGCCTTTGCACATCTAAATTGGTTTTAATGTCAGCCCAACTTAAGCATAAGTACGTAAGGAAAAGATGCATGGGGTAAAACACAGGATCCCTAGAAAGCCCTGGAGAGTTTCTCAGCTCTCCATTCCTCAGGTAAATACGTAAATGCTAGGAAAAGGAGGGGAGCTGAGGAACTTTGCAGTAGTAGTACTGTCAAACTGCTAATCAAATATATTTTGAAGTCAGTGAAATTGAAAGGTCTTGTTTCAGATTCTTGACATCAGGTCACTTTATCTGATTAGAAATCTGTGTATGCAGTAATATGAAATTATCTGAGACACTTATGGTAAGAGAGATGCTCATTTATCTTCATTGTAAAAATGCAACAGCTTATCATCAAAGGTTGACTGCCATCTAACCTTCCATGAAAGAACAGTGTAGATCACTCTATTAATATCCATTCTTGGTTATCTTTAGGTTGGAGTCAGTATCAGGAAGCTTAAAGATAGTGTTGACCTGTAAAAGGAATCACAAATTCAATTAGGCAGGTTTTATTTTTCCTATACAAACCTGCAACTTTATCTTCAGCACCTTTCTATTCAGTCTCAGCTTATTAACTGTGAGAGTAGCACAGGCATCTGTCCTTCAAATAGCACTCGTCTAGCAGTGTTTACAGGGAACATACAATTCTACGTTCTTTTTTCAGCTTCCCTCCTTGCTGGTGTTTCTAAGTTCAGTCAGTATCTGGCTAAAGAAGCAGACTTATTTTGGGACTCCAGGCTCCAAATCCCTACACAATCCCTATGCAAACTGTTGAGGATCCGAACAAGTGAACAATGGTATACCTAGTTCTATTTCCCATGTTCAGGTTTGGCTAATGCATTGTCAGTGTCCTGTTCCCTTTTTTGACAAATGTGTTCTGCGCAATGCTGGTTCAGCTGCAAGTGCTTAAGTTCACTTCTGCGGCTTCAACTTTGTTCCTTTGTTTGGCTTAAGCAAAGTTTTCATGCTGAAGCAATGAGCTTCATTAGACATGTAGGTCCCTAATTTGAAAAACAGGAAATCATCCGTTTTCTGTAACATGTTTTATCACAACATTTCAGCTCCTAAGCTAATTAATTCATGTTGGAAGTTTTTGTGAAATTTTTTTCAATCCACTCAAGCGGCTTTAAGGGCAAAGGTCTGTTTTCAAGTACTTTTCTAAGAGTTTTCTCATAGTCTTAGTGGGTTTCCAGGGTAACATTGCATTCTTCCTTTTCTGCTTGCATTCTGCATTCCATGTTGTGAAGTTTCTAAGGCTGCAATTTCAGGACAACTTTTAGGTAGCTTAGTGGTGTGTGTGAGATTTATGTCTTCCATCTCTCCTTCTAAAGTCCAGGATACTAGTTCTAGCTTTCACCCCTTGATAAAACCAGTCTCCATGTTCTTGCTCATCAAATTAAATCAGAAAATTATCCAGGTTAAAGCTAACTTGAGAAAAAAGAGACCCGTCTCCTCTTCTTTTATGAGTTGCACCAAAGTAATGCAAGTGTTCATGGCAAGTTCAAGCAGTCAGTCAATTTCTGAGACACCTGGTAGCTCTGAAACATGCTGACCACTGAGTTCAGCAGATTAGTTCTTTCAGGAGAACTAGAAAGAAATGGGCATTGAGGAAAGAAAGCAAACATCTACACACAGCATGGATGTGGGCAGGGAGATACTGCCTTCCAGCAGAGGTTGCATCCCAAAGCCTGAAGAGGTACCCTGCTGGGGTGATACCAGCAGTGTTCCTTCTCTCTTCTCCAGGCTGGAAGAGTCTACCAGTTACTGCATAGGTTTGGGGCAGACAAAAGCAATTGGGTAAAAAGGGCCTCAAAGCAAAAAATTATTTAAACATATAAAATCACTTTCAGAATAAAGATTCTGTAGAGTTACACAAAAATCATTGTTATTTTCTTCTGCAGATCCACTGTTTATCATTTGGCTTTGGGTTGAATACTGAAACAGTTTTCAATAATCAACTTCAGAATTAAAAACGAGAAAGGTAGCATTGAAAAGAAAAGACTAGTTTTCTTAAATGCACATTTTCCAACAGCTTCAATGTTTTCAGCACTTTGCTGTTCCTGTTCACTGTTTTCATGCAATCTAATTTTTATTCTCCTTTTCGCAGATCGAATTGCACAGAATATCATTAAATCTCATTTGGAGACATGTCAGTATACAATGGAGGAATTACATCAGCTAGCATGGCAGACCCACACATATGAAGAAATAAAGGTTTACCAGAGCAAGGTACAATCCTCTAATAAGCTTTTTCTTCTGCTTGAAATTGTTAACAGAGTAATTTATTTGACAGGAGTACACTGATGAGTTTCCTATGGGGCAAAATACACTTTTCAGTACCTTTGGGGAACTGGTTGCTGAAAGCAAGGAGTGACACTTCATAAAATAAAGCAGCAGTTTTCCAGCATATTGAGCTGTTTGCTAATGTTAAATCTTAGGTGTGGTCATGGAATCCAGTTTTCTGTGCTTATTATTACAGATCTTAACCTCATGCACAAACTCAGTTAACTCCAATTTGATTGTGATTGGATCCTCACTTGTAAGGATTTTAAGAACATAAGACAACCTTTTTGCCTTATCATTTTGAAAACATATCTGCTTTTCCTGTGAATAACAAACACCTGTCACTTATGAGAGCAGAGGATAACAAACCAAAAGTACTCCTTAAATTGAAGCTCTTCAATGTTGAGTGGAAAAAATTATCTCATTACACTACATTTTTGTTCTGCTCCTGTGATTCTCAGGTCAAGTTCAGTCTTTTTTCCACTGGCACCTCTTCAGATGTGGTCCAGTCATCTTTGAAATCTGAGGGGCTGTGCCGTATTAGCAGGAACAAAAACACACCACAGCTTGCAGTGAAACCAAGAACATCCATTTTCATTTACACACATGTGTGTGCAAGGAATTGCACAGAATATCATTAACTTATTATCAGAAAGTCAACATTTCAATGTAGCCTGTGTTAAGATACTTCAATTATATATTTCAGCTTTCAAGCTAGAAAAATACTCCGTTGAATAAATCAATAGCATTGTGCCACTTCTTGCCCAGGAGTGCTGCGGAATATGTGCGTTTTTCATGCCACTCTTAGTCTGTCCTGCACAAAAAGCCAACATTAGAATCACATTATAACACTGGGAAGTGCATTCTGCTCCTTTGAAAAGACAATACCAGAGTTCAGATGAGTGGGGCAGCATCTTGTGAAAGCAACCTTCTAATGAGAAGTGTTGGGTGCCTAGAGAAAAAGAGATGCTGCTAGCTCTGCCTGGGTATGGGGATGGAGCGTGGGGAGTCCTGCTGTCTGCAAGGCCCCCTGAAGAACTTAATGCACTGTTGTACCTGTTTACTCACCTCTTTGCTCTTGCACGTGTGCTTTCCTGGAAGACGAGAGAAGCTCTGTGGCAGCAGTGTGCCATTCAGATCACCCATGCTATCCAGTACGTGGTGGAGTTTGCAAAGCGCATTACAGGCTTCATGGAGCTCTGCCAGAATGACCAAATTCTCCTTCTTAAGTCAGGTGGGTAAACACCAGAGGCTTGAGACTGAGTCCCTGGAAATGTGCTCTCCTGTCTTTTCCTGCAAATCATTTTAATTTTGAGGGAGCCCTAATTTCTGTCTGTTGCATTAAGTACATTAACCTTGCTGTATTTTTTCACATTAATGATGTTACTGACTTCTGATCCTCTCCCCTCTACAGTCAGTTGTGGTTATTAACTACACACACACACACACACACACACACACACACACACAACCATTGCAAAAACTGCAGTCTCCAACCTGACATGTGGTGGAAGGAGCCTGCAAATTGAGTTGGTCAAATCAGTCATCTGCCACCCTGTAAAATGTCATTAATGAAACCCTGTAAAACTTGTCATTAATGAAACAAAGGCAGGCTCACTGGAGTCTGCCTCTGTGGTCATCCTTAATCTTTTTAATGAGACTACAGAAATACTCTACAGCCAATGCACAGGAGGGAAAATTCCTGCTGGTGCCAGTTGTTTTTGGAATAAATGAGAGCAGATTATGGCAGTGTGCTCCAACCATGTTCTCTCTGCATGCCAGGTTTGCATGTGTGTGCATAAGGGCAAGGGGAAAAGGCTTTCCTTCCTTATCAAGGGACTCAGTAATTCCTCCGAAATTACTGAGCCTCCGAAAGAATCCTGACAAGATTTATCATGACTGTGCAGTAACACTGCCAAGCCCAGGAGGACAAAATGGCATGACTAAGTGAACCACAAGAACCATGACTGCTAATTAACTGCATTTACCCTGTCATATCAGTTTCTTGCTCCCTCCGTGTGTAAAAGGTAGGATGCTGTGTGAGGCAGCTTGTTAAAACTTAAGTGCTTCTCTTTGGAGAGAGATCTCTTCACTAAGGCTGAAAGTCTGTGTGATTCAGCACTCCATACACAGAAGTCACAGACTGTTCTGGGTTGGAAGGGACCCACAGGGAAAACAGCCCAGTTTTTCAGTGACTGCCCCAAACCCACAACCCTGGTGTTATTACCACCATACTCCAACCAACTGAGCTAACCTCCGTGGCAGAACCAGAATCACATACTGTGATTCTGTGGTGGAAGGGGTCCAACAAGGATCAAGTCCAGCTCTTAAGTGGCCCGTGGAGTAATCAAACCCACAGCCTTGGCCTTAAGAGAACCATGATTGTGAGGGATTGGGCCCTGATGATGGGGACGGCTGCAAAGGGAAGTGATACAGAGGCTCAGGGAACACACAGGCAACCTCCTAGAGAAAGGGAGTTATAGTACAAAAACTATTTTTTTAATCTCATACTAATTTTGAAAATGCTGCAGATACTAGTGCACCCCTAGGAAACTTCATTTGACTGGCAAGGCTAACAGCACAGCTGCACCTTCAGGAAAAGATTTATTTCACTCTGCTGGAAAATATTGTTAAGCTATAGCTTATAAAAATGTGTCAGGTTTTATGTTCTCTTTTACTGTTTATGCTGACCAGGAGTTTGAAAATGAGGACTTTTCTCTCAAAAGCATATCTGCAGAATAATCCTCAGATTCTGAGTTCATCTTACAGGAGATCTGGCTTTAGTTAAGAGATCTTAAAATTTTTCCTTCCACTTTTCCAACTGCATAATTTTGCAGTTAGGAGATAACATGCAAAGATAAGGATTAAAAGGAAGTGTTTTTTTCTCTATTCAACAACCAGTAAAAAAGAAAAATAAAAACAAACAAGAAGTAAAACCTATTTTAGGTGTGCTCTTGGCAGTTCTTTAGCTTATACTCTCTTTCTAAAAATGCTTTGTAATGTTCTCCCTCTCCAGTCAAATTAAGCTGGGATTTTTATATGCCTTGAATGAAGCTGGTTTTTGTTATTAAAAAAAAAAGGGTTAACTATTAAAAAGGAGTTTTAATAAATGCCTATTTTTCAGGATAAAGTATTTCAAACTTTATTTGTCCATTATCTAAATTCAGATCTAGTCCAGGCTGCTAATTCTCAGCAAAGGGTGAAAAAGTCAATCTGTAGAAAAGTGCTTAGACTGGAGCAGAAATGACCCCATTCTCTACTCAAAGCTGACAGAATTTTTTTTTTCTCACATTCATAGATGTATAATGTAGATGTCTTCAAAGAGTGTCTGTCCCTTCTGATGTTTTTAACGACTGATGGCTTCGTAAATATCTTCTTGAGCTTTCCTGTGCTCTGATGTTTGGCAGTAATACCTGGTACCTTTGCTCTTTTTTCTGTCTGCTAGGCTGCTTGGAAGTGGTTTTGGTGAGAATGTGCCGTGCCTTCAACCCACTTAACAATACTGTTCTGTTTGAAGGAAAGTATGGAGGGATGCAAATGTTTAAAGCTTTGGGTATGTTGCTCTTCTTTTTTCCAACCAATTGCATTGAACCATATAGCAAGAAATTTGTCTTTATGGGAATAGTGACCCACAGTGGAAGTCTCCAGTAAATGTTGAATCCTCAAGTCTCCAAATGTCTAGTTTGGAACAGAAAAAGAAAAAAAAAAAAAGGTGATTCCATTAGCTTCTAACAGTGATAGCTGTTTTTCTCTAATAAAAACAGAGAAGCAAGAGTGTTTTTTCAAATAGATTTTTTGCCTTCTGAAGTTTTGATGAACCGTGAGTTTATGGCAGGACAAGCTATTTGTCTTTACTGTTCAGTTACAGTTGATGAAAGAAATCCCTCCCACTAATTGTGTCCTGCAGAAGGCAATTTTAGCCCCAGCAGTGAGGAGACTAAATTAATGAACACCTTGCTGAAAATACTGTTTTGCCTAAAACTTTCAAGTAAGCTCATTTAGATTCATGTACTGAAAAAATTATTCTGTTTCTCAGCATGATATTGAGAGCTACCTGAAATGTTCACAGTGAAATGTTTGTGTTTTGTGCATCCATCAGACTGATATTATCAGAAATTGATTCAGGACCAAACTCAAAGAGAGATTTTGCTTTCAAATGTATATATCATAATTTTTTTTCTTAGTGTGTATCATAAACATGCTACTTCTTTATAAGTTTAAATCATTTATGAATGTGTATTAATTTATATTTATCTTTATGATGCTTTTGCCAATTTTCATACACATTTGTACTTAGTAAAATTATGTATAAACGTTATTTAGGGTTGGTCCTTCCTCCTCCTTAAGTTTAATATCTGTTTAGAAACAGATATTACCTCACTGGGAAAGAATATTCTCTGTTAAGATGTCTGTGCAATTTTTGTACTTCACCCTCATTCTTGATAATTTTTTTCACTTCTGTGTACATCTTAGTGCCATTTTTGGGTTACATGAAATTTTAATAGTTAATGAAAAGTAGTTGCTTTATCAGTACAGAAATTGAGGAACAATTTTTTCTGACACCAAAACAATCCCTGCAGTTTGAAGAGCTGATTTCTAACATTGGTTCTCTTTTGTCTGCAGGTTCTGATGATCTGGTAAATGAAGCATTTGACTTTGCAAAGAATTTGTGTTCCTTACAGCTGACTGAGGAGGAGATTGCCTTGTTTTCATCTGCTGTTCTGATATCACCAGGTAACTTTTCATTCCAAACACTGTGGTTTTTTTCCTCTTAGTCCATCTATTTCTACATACTTAAATAGCTGTTTAATAGCTGTTTAATAGCTGCATCAAATGTAAGCAATGTATTAAGCAGTGCAAGAATACCTGAATTACCCAAATATACCATCAGGAATTACATACAGTGGATGTAGATCCAAAGTGTAACAGACATGAGGAGGATTGTGCAGACAAGAAATGCAGGCTGGCCTTCCTCCAAATCATCTGAAGAGAATTATGTTACTCAAGAGGTGCATGTTCCTCCTACCTTTGTCAGGGTAACCACAAAACTCTCCACCCTGAGTAGGTTATACAGGCCATAACTATGATGGGCTTTTTGCTTGGGAGTGAGAGCATAAAAAAGCAGTGAAAATTGGTGTGCAGTCCTATCTGAACCTAGTTCCAGGTGAGAGGCAGTGATTCAAAGTGCAGCATGCTCTTTTTTCTTGTATTCATATACCATAACTACACAGGTAAGCAAGCATTTAAGGGAAGGCTGGCTGGCCATGAAGAGACTTATGTGATTGAGTTGACTCAGAAAGTGGGTATAGTACACAAGCTCACAGTTTAGTGTGGGATTTTTAAGTATGCCTTAAGTAAGGAATGGAGGCACATAGATTCATCTAAGGATAACCTCTTATATAGCCTTACAAAAAAAAAAAAAAAAACAACGAATTATTTTTCCAACTTTTTCTGCTGAAGACTTCTTCTAGGTCACCTTGAGCTTTTGCATATCTGTGTTGCAGATAATGTTAGTCAGAATTAGACTACCACAGACGGTGTCAACACATTCATTCTCATCATTAACAACACCTACTGGAAGGACTCCTTTTTTTTTCACTTTGAGCAGTTCTTGCCATCATCTGCTCAGAAGTGAAATAGTTGAGCCAATGATTCTTCATGAGGTTATGCCAAAATACAACCCTCTAGACATTGATGATTTCTACCTCAAAGGTGTCCCAGCTGTGTGCAGTGCCTCTGCACTACCCCTCCAGATGTCCTGACTTTCTCTGGAACAGCAGACTTGCAATGTCCTGATTGGTCTCTGCCTATCATTTCTCTCCCAGTCTGAAAAGACCAAAACTGGGTGGGTGGCATAGGGTGCTAGCTGCTGGAAAAATTAGATGGAATCAAAATTCTGATTAATTTCTGCAGTTCTGCATTTGTCCCTTTAGTTTGGAAACCAGAGGATATATGCAGTGTCTCCTATTGTATTAGCTAAAAAAAAAAAATAAATTTAAAAGGAGCAGAAGTGTTTGGTGCACTCTGACTGCTTATTTCTGCAGTCTGTGAGCATGTGTAACTAGTCCTAAGACATAACAAGAAGGAAATGATGGGCTGCAGCAGCATGTACAAGAGTGAAAGCAGTCTTTCTTCCATAAAAAACCTGTATATTTGGATTGTTTAAATAACTCCCATTTTAACTGGGCTGCTACGTTAGAGAGTGGGAAGACAGAGAAAATAGTCCAGAATGAACTGATACTGAAACATGCCATTTATTTTCTCTCAAAAACAGTAACAGTAAACAATAGAGAAAGAAATATTTCCTTCCACGTTTGATGTTCTGGATCCTCCACAATAAAGAGTTTAATCGTGGGAACAAATTAAAAAAATTAAAAATAAAGCACTGCTTTACAGAAGTCACTGCACCAGTCCTTCCATTGACTAAAATAAGCTTACAAAGATTGCATATAGGAAGTACTCATATTCAGGTTTCTTTTCTGCAGAAGTCACCACCTGAAAGGTGACTCTTGCAGCCTTGATCTCAGTGTTTAGGCAGCTTACAGAAACCAGAGCAATCCACTGGGAGTAAGGGGAGCTGAGAACATCCATGAGTAACATCCATCAGTAGTTTTACAAAGGCTGCAAAGGCCAGTGTCACATCCCTTTTCCTTCTAATTCAGCACACAAATCCAGATTTTCCATTTTTTGATGGACATAACCCACATTGTTTGAAGGTGATTCTCTAGCTTGATTTGTGATTTCAAAAGCTGAAATGTTGTAGAGATCCAGTAGAAGCTGCAGACGCATCTCCACCTACAAAAATACAAAGGATGCACTTGGTAAGACAGGATCATGGCTGCTCCCTTGTTCCAGTCCCTCTCCTGAATGCCATGTTCCTTCTTTCCATCTTCCTTTCACCAAAACCAAGTCTTGTCTCTTTCTGAGCTGTCTCTCATCTTTCCTACACAATTCTCTAGCCTAGTGGACTGTGTACTCTTCAAAGATGGACAAGTCCAAAACCCAAAAGAAAGAGTACACTATTGAAACACTGCTTCTTACATCGTTTAAAGGTGGTCACTAATCTATTGACCATTTCCTGCACTTCTGTGAATATAGCTAGAGTTACCTGTGAAATTCCAGCCAAATTTACAGATGCTATTCAGGTGGCAGAAACCACATTTTGAGATACAAACTTAGCATCTGTTAAAAAGGTTTACCTAGCTCTTGTCATAAATTTAACAACTCTTGTGTAATATACAGCACGCTTCATGACAGGTGAGTGATGAAGCTGTCCTTCAACTGCCTCAGTCTGTTTTTAAGTTTATTCTTGTGACAGAAAGGGAAACCTCTAGGGACTTGTCTCTGTGATAAATCTTTTTAGCTCCAGTCTGCCACAACAGGCATTAATTTAGCATGATTCAAAGACCAGGTTTTGCAATAGCATAAAGTTTGGCGTCCAGCTTGTGAAGTCTAAACGTTACTGTGTGCTTGTTGTGTAGAAAGTGCATGTGTTCTTAGCTAATTCCATTTCTATGGCCACTGATGGCACAGGATCCATTGGCTTACCTTCAGGGAACACAATTCTCTAACATTTAAAAAATACTGAGGTTTTTTCCTGATCATCTGTTAAGTAGCTGAGGTTTGTTTTTGTCTCTTTTCACAGTACTTAACAATCGAGTCTTTTCATGCACCTCTCCCCAGAGACAGTAAGACAAATGGCAGAACTGTGCTACTCCTGTGATGAAATGTTGCTCATTTCCAGCCTCTGTGGCATGTGTGCTCATTGAAGTGGTTAACTTAAATTATTTCTGTGTCTTATTTTAATGATGGGGAATGGGTGAAAGAAAAGTGAAAGGATTTTTTTCCTGAATCTTTCAATTTGTACATGGAGATTCAAGCTTGTGATAAAAGAAGTTCTCTTATTTCCCATATGAAAGCTAAAATCTGTAGCCAAGAACTGGTCTGGATTGCAGGAGAAAAAAGCCAGTTTCCAGTGTGGTAAAACAGAAGGCTCAGTGGTGCTGCAAGCACACTGCATTAATGGGTTTGTATTGTCTTGGGGTCTGCTTCTTTTCTTTCTGTGTGTTTGTCTCTAGAACCTATGACTTGTGAGAATATAGATTGTGAGGACAACCTCCTGCACTTGGGGTTTTCTGGTTTCTCAAAAACATGGAAGCCATATAGGTTTTAAAACAACTGTGTAGCTGTTACCCTTCCAGATAATCTTGTATTTTGCATTGTTTAAAAAGAGTACATTTTTAAATAGTGAGAAACTTGCACTTTGCAATTCTTTTGAATTATTGAAAAAATTCTCTTGAAGAAAGCCATTTCTTTTTATTTAGAATGTCTTTTGTCTCAAAATGTTAGCCTAGTAAATAATGAGATTATATTAATGTTTGAATAATTATATTCTCTTATTTTCAAAGAACTGTTTTGATCAGTAAGTTTATTATTTATGTATTAAGACACTGAGATAAAATTACATGTTTATAACCTAGCCAGTATGGAATTAGAACACTGATTGTACCAACAGAGAATAATAAAATGTCGAGCCATGTTTCATTTCTGTTCCCATCTTTATGCCTACCATCCTGTTCTAGACAACGAGATGCAGAGCCAACACTGTGTTCCTGTATGTTTTGTGTGTTAATTAAGTGCTCAGGTGATCCTTTAACGGGTTAAGAAACTTTGCCTCTGAAACCATGTCTTTAATTACTGTGCAGTCCTTCCTCCTGAGAATTAGGACCCCTGTACTTGGCAGTGCAGTACCCTGTGTGCACCATGAGCATGCCCCAATCTCTGCATTCTTTAGCTTCTCTTTTCCTTTTTCTCAGATCGAGCCTGGTTAATAGAGCCAAGGAAGGTCCAGAAGCTTCAGGAAAAGATTTACTTTGCACTTCAACATGTTATTCAGAAGAACCACCTCGATGAGGAGACATTGACAAAGGTAAGTTCTTTAAACAAAACACCAAGCAGTCCTCAAGCATGACTTTTTCTCTTTCCACAGCAATTTCTGTACATATTGCCATGTTAATGTAGGCTAAAAGAAGTGCACTATGTGCTTGCCATGTGTAGAAGATGGGCTTGTTTGACTCTTGTCCCTGTTGCCTCTTACTCCATTTTTTTAATCAATATACCAATAATTTTAATTCATACCCTATAAAGAATGTGACTGCCTTTAAAAATTGCTTGTTGAGGCTGTTCCTTGTTAAATGCATTTTTGGCCCTTGACTAAAACTTCGGGGGCAGTTCTTATACTAAGAACAATGTCAAGTCCTTTGGATGGGTTTTGATGGAGCTTATATAGAGTGTCTCTTTCAGTTACTCACCAAGACTCTAACATAGTTCATTTTGGAAAGTGTAATTTGTACAAAATATGCTTCCACCTTCTTCCTTTTTTTCTTTTTTTTTTTTTTTTTGTTTTGTTTTGTTTTGTTTTGTTTTGTTTCAATGTCTTACAGTTAATAGCCAAGATACCAACAATTACTGCACTTTGCAACTTGCACGGAGAGAAACTGCAGGTATTTAAGCAATCTCATCCAGACATAGTGAACACACTGTTTCCTCCATTATACAAGGAGCTTTTCAATCCAGACTCAACCACTGGCTGCAAGTGAAGGGGATAATAGAATTTTCACGTAGTCATGGAATGCATCACTAGTAAGACAAAAAGAAATGTTTTCATGAAGAAATTATTAAAAATGTCACTACTGCAACACTAGGAATGTCCTGCACTTAATAGAATTATTTTTCACCGCTACAGTTTGAAGAATGTAAATATGCAACTCTGAGTGGGGATGTCTTTTTTCTCTTTTGTTTACCTTTTTTTTTTTTTTTTCATTTTTTGAACTGACAATTAATACACAAATATAGGACACTGGGTGTTACCTTTTTTTTTTTTTTAATTTACTTTTATTGGGGGATGTTTTGGGAGACAACTGTTCCTAGAATTTTATTGTAGATAATACATGATAATAGAGCAGTACTTCGCAGTATTACTCTTGCTGTTTATTGTTCAAATATAATTTAAGAAAATTCCACTTATTAGACTGCCTAGTTCTATGTTTTTGATAGTTTAATGCATGTGGAAATTTGTAGCTGCCTTGGAAATTATGGTGCGTATATGGAAGACACACACACTCACATATTTATATACATATATATATGTATGTATGTATATATGTATGTATGCATAATATGCATACATGCTGTAACTTAAAATCACATGCCTACATTTAAAGGATGCTCAATCCAGCTGTCATATATTTCTTACTCTCCAAGTAATGTATTAGATTTACTTTGCGCAATCAAGATTTGCTTTGCCAGAGTTAAATTGTCAGCTGCCAATGTGTAATGACAGGATCACTTCTGAGATGTGTGTAATGTAGTGCATGTGTGCTGTGTGTAAATCAAACATCAGGAATGTATCAATGGCGCAAAAGCCTTGTCTGGATGGTTTCAGTGAAAAGAGGAATAGGATTGGTTTGGGTTTTGTTTTTTTTTATTCTCGCTGTTACAGGGATAGAACATCTATAAAAGTGAACATAGTAGGACCTGATCTCAGTAAAGTATTTGAAACATGGAGTAAAAATGTAGACAATCCCATGTGTACATTTTTTTGATTTCACACGTGATTTTTTATATATATATATATATATATACACACACACACATATATATATACTGCTTTGAAAAGTAGCTTCAAGTCTTGGTTTGTTTTTTGCTGAACTCTTTAGAAAGATAGATAGTAAGCTCAGTGAAAACCATAGCAAGCCTCTGAAGAGGAAAGGAAGGAGGAAAGTCAAAAGTGGGGGAAGTCCATGGTTACAAAGGACAGACTAATTGTCCATGCATCTGACAGTCGTCATCTAGACGGGACCAGTGGTTTCTACTACACTCATACATTTGTGTATGTTTTAAACACATCCATATATGTATGTATATATCTGTATGTATATAACTGTGTATATATATATGCATATATAGGATTTATTTTAGATGCATTTCAGGAGTGGAGCGAAGGATTGGATTGGAGCTTTCTTTTTGTCTGTCTCTGAATTGACTGTACTTGCATTTGCTTGCAAAACCAAAGGCAAACACAGAGGGGAGTGGAATGCTGCCATGGACTTAATCTTGTGGGTTAATTTCATTTAATCAGCAGTCATTTTTAATGTACCTGCATTCTGCCAGTAGTACAAAACACAGATGTTTTAGCTATGAAAGAGGGATTCAGTTTCTGCTACATCTCTCTTTGCCACCCACCACTTTTACCTACTGTGAACTTTTTCAGAGCAGTCTCCTCCTGGGATCCCAGTGGAGGGCATAGAGCAGAAATAAGAAGAAGCAGGCAGTAGAGAAGGAAGGAAGCGAAGGCAGGATCACAAAGCAGATGTGTTTCTTTATCTCAAACCACGCAGAAGCCAGTGCAATCTGAGGCAAGGCAAGGGGAAGCAGAAAGGACCTGCCCATTTGCCAGGCTCATGGAGGGGCAGTGTCACAGGGAGCCCACAGGGACACAGCTGCGCCCTAGGGTGGGTGAAGAAAATTGGCCTGTTGTAGTGATAACTTAATGCCTTGTGCAGCTCTGCTCTCAAGCTTCTCATTTCTTCATGAGCAGATAATTCACAAGCTGTTTCAAATATTTTGTGGACTTCTCCCTTGCCTTCCATTAGTCAGCTTGCAAGTTTGCATACATGTTTTGTGGCAGAATCGAGTCTAGAGAATATCACAATTTGTTTGTTCTGTTTTAGCAATGCCAGAACACGTACGAGAGTAGTTACGAACTCAGCTAATAAATGTTTCTGTGCAGGTCCATTACAACTTAGAAAAAAAAAAAAAGGAAAAAAATCTGTCCAGCAAATTCAGTTGTGAGAATTTTGTTGCAAATGTGACATACTTTTCAAAGTTGCTTAATCCTATAGAAGAGCAGTTACTAAAGTTACCTTTTTTAGTCCAAATTCAGAGCACATTTCTCTAGTGATTACCTTAAAGTGTCTTCAGTTAACATAATAAAGCACTGCTCTTGATGCTTCTTTATACCACTCTAACTGTAAGACTGACATTCCTTTATAAGGTGATTTACCTGTTTGCAGCCCTTCTTGTATGGCAAATCCAGGAAAAGGATCCCAAATTTCAAGTATGTGTATATCAAAACTTAATGTCTATGTACTATTCGTTTCGATTTATCGGGGAAATAATCAAGTCATGCTGAACTCTAGAAGTGCTGGGTTTTAATTGCAGGGGATTCATGTTTTCCTTGATTTCCCAACACAAGAACACACACATACTGTTTGAAATATTTTATAAATTCATTTTCAGTATATCAAAAGGATATATTTAGCCAACCCATAGAAATATAGAATAAGTGATAAATACTACTGTTTATAGTGCTGCTTAATAAAGAGCTTTGTCATGTTTATAAATAGTCCTTCACAATTGTGTGTTACATCTTGAAAATGTTGCTTTCTTCTCAAATAAGCTAATCACTCCTTGGGATTTTTGAATTACTTCTCAGGCAAGAGAACTAAATGGAGGTCACTAGTGAAAAAGACATTATCTGCAGGGCCTCTAATCCTTAAAGCACTATTCTGATATCTCTACAATGTCATGACCTTTCCAATCAGTAATGATTATGATCACATGTTAAAGATGTGAAATGAAAGAAAAAAGGTTAAGTGACTTGTCGGAGACCACAAAGTTAGAAATACCCAGAAGTTTAGAAATAAAAGCGGATTCTTGGCTTTCGTCCTAAAACTTCTAATACTCTGGCATACAAGATCTTCATTGTCATAGATAGGCAATAACCTCTACCAGGAATTTCAAATATTACCAAACAAGTTTTTGTTACTTTTAGAGCAGGATTTGAACAAATAATGTTGTTGTTTATTTGGAAGATGAAAATTCATTTTCAAAAATTATTTATTTATGGAACTGTGCTGTGGTAACGGCAATTAGATTTTATTTAATTTTCTGTCATTTGGGCTTGGCCACATAGGTATAGTACCTCTTTTTCCCTTCACTGAGTGTAGAGCACATAATGATCACATGCCACAGGCTGGATATTTGTGATTAGTTTTGCCGGCTTATACTCAAAGTTTCAAATTCTTGACACTGGATTTCACATATTCAAGTTATCCATGGACTTTTAGGGATAAAATAGCATGGATTTTTAGTAAATAACTTCACAGTATTAGTACTTCATTGATGTTTGTTTTGGCTTTCAGTAGTCCATGGCAGAACCTGAAGCTTTTCAAGTGTCTAAAACTAGAATTTGTCACATCTTCTTGATGTAATAACTGGATATGTTTGTTGATTTTTTTAGTGACAGGCTTTTCAAATGAGACACATTTTTTAATGATTGATTAACCTGGGACCCGTAACAAAAGGCTATTTTAAGCATATATTTAAAGCATGTATTGAACCTACTACTAGCATTGCTCTCCAGTAATTCAGCGGTATTATGCTAAATTACCCTTGGCATTGAGGAAGCAGATGTACAGTGTTCATTATACTACCACTAAGACTTTATTTTGCTGTAAATATCACTCTTGCCTGCTCTTTTTATAAAGAACTAATTCTAAGATTCGTATTTCCTTCTAATGGAAATTACTAGAAAAGAAACATGGTGGTAAAAAGCACCTCAGTTGAGGAAACTTGTTTCCAAAAGCAACATGTGGTTTTTGATTGGCTTATGGTAGACAGCATTAAGGAATTGATTCTGCAAGTTGTCAGACACTCAGCTCTAACTAGAGCCACTAAAATTTGAGGCATTTCAGCCAAGAAGGTGCTCAACCAATCACAAGATTGGAGGCCCTTGGCATTAAGAGGTCCCTCTTGAGCTTTGTTGAGCAAAAGGCAGATGTTACTCTCATAAATGCTTTGACTTCATGCTCCGTGTTGTTCATTTCAGCCCAGTTTCACAAGGGTCAGTTTATTCTCCTGTTGCACCTTGGGCACCAACGCTGTTTCAATACCTCTGGCCAGGTTATGGTGCTGAGGTGGAGCAGCTACCACAGCTGCCCGGGAAGGTGAGCTTTGTTACGTGATTTTCTTTGCTCAGTTTCACAGTGGTGTGTTTCCCTCTGGAACGGCTTGCGGGATTTCTGATGTAACAACTTCTACACAAAGCTGCTCGTGTGTGCCAGCCTCTTGGCCTCCCACCACCAGCCTGTACGAGCTTCTCTGAGACTGCAGTCTCACAAATTGGTCAGGCAGCTCAGATAGATAGAGATGTGCAGCTGATGGCTCCTTTCCCTGTTGGCTTTTCCACCCCTCTGAAGCTGTGCTTTCAAACATCATTTGACAGATGGTCAGTCTCCCCCACTCCTTCTCCCTCCTGACTCTGCATTAATTGTGCTCCAGAAGAGCTATGGTCCAGCCCGGAAGGTGGTTCCTATTTTCAGTCATTGTCTTTTGGACATCCCAGGAATACAGCACATAAAATCAAAGTGAAACACAGAAGATATTTTTTTTTTTTTTTTTTTTTTTTTTTTTTTTTAATCCAGTACATTATGTCTAAGGATGTATGAAATAGAACCTTGAGACAGAACACCTTGCATTTCCCTGGCCATAAAATAGCAGTGTATTTACACCTACCAGCCTATCCCATCACCTTCTGCCTCCACCCTAGAAACTAAATACTATCTCTGACATCCATTTGGAACAGTGTGCTGTAGGCCCCATCCTCTTCTTTACTCTCTAAGTTTCACACTTCGTAAATGACAATCACTGCTTGATGCAAACGTTGCACTCTATGCCACTCAGGGATGTTTCATTAGTGGAAATAACTCTATAAATGTAACAGTGATATTCTGGAAGAGAATGTTAGAGGCTTTGAAGGGCATGGCTTGAGCTGCCCAAGTGAACATGACCCAGACAAGGCTTTCAAGCCAATGATTAGGAGTAACACTGGTATAAACTGAATTCACTGTCAGCATTTCCTCAGCCTGATCTGTCAGACTTTGCCTGTTGTTTCACAGTCAGCAGAGTCCTACTGACCCATCAGCTCATGATGTTAAGGTCCTTTTGGGAACAAAACACAAGCAAGCTTTGTGTGAATTACTGAATTTAGACAAACTGACAAAGTTTCAAGGTACTCATTGAAATTTTATGTACCATTAACGTGAGCTCATATTCAGACTTGCTGCAGGCATGTAAGAGGAAAGGTTAAGACATGGAATAAGTGATGGTATGTCAGCAATGACAAGAGCACTGAGCTAGGACATGGAGAAGTAACTGTAAAGAACAAGTAGACATGAGCAAGTGGCTAACAGCTACCATTTTCTCTCAGGGATGCACGAAATCATAGCTAGCCCATGACTCTGTAGCACTACTTCTCCGTGGTATGATTAGTCCCTTTCTCACATCAAGAAAACATTACCCCATTTTATACTGTGCTAGTGAAAAATATTCACACTTCCTGGAGTTTTGAAATGTGTTTATCCCTCTACACTATGGATTTTCTGTCGTTACAAGAACACACACAGAAGGATAAATTGTGGTGGATGATATTGCCAGTCATTAAGTTAATTCCATGTCTTCAACCAAGAGGTTTTCCTCAGCTCTGAATATGATCATTGCTCCTGTTATCACAGTGAGTATGTGTGGTTTTTGGCTCCCTCCATCCTCTCCACTCCCTCCACTTAGAAGACTGATGGACACCTTCAGGAGGCAGAGAGGCCAGCATCCCTATGCATCAGGATTTTCACCATCATATTCTTTAACAACTATCCTATTGCAATTCTTATTTTAATCCTTCAGGTCACAAGGAGCCATGTCCAAGCAACTGAAGTTCTCATTAGTGTGAACATTAAAAAGTTCAGAGGTCTTATTGTCAGAGGACCTTGCCTCTCGTTCCTTTTCCTTTTACTCCTTGCTCCTAGTGAATGAGGCCTGGAGTGGTAAATGACTCATCTTCATTCTTTCTCAAAGTAGATTTGTACTTGCAACCTGCAAGGAAGGCTCCAGATTATAGAAAGCAAGCTCCTTCTCCTCTTCCTTCATGCTGTCACTTTGCTGTGTTGTCCCTGCATGCATTGTCCCTGCATGTGTTGTCCCTGCATGTGTCGTCCCTGCATGACTGTGTGACAATGAGCCCAACAATTATATAAAAGTTATCATCCCAGAAGTTGTTTGCAGCTCTAAAATCCACTTGTGTGTGCAGTCTGCAGACAAGAATCATTGTGAAAAAAGAAGAGGCCTAGAACTTCCACAGTGGTAGCTCACAGACCAGTAACTCTCCTAAAAAGGCAGGCTGAATGTCCAGCGGTGGCCATGTCTGTGTCCTCCAAATGACCCTTGCATACATTTCTGTTGAGAGGATAAGGCAATGAATAAAATACTCTGGGAAATAAGTGTTTCCTGGGTGTTACTGCAGGCAGCAAGGATAATACTGCTCACAGTGAGTTCAGTAACATGATGTACTACATTTGGATAATTTCATCGTCATCACAGTTCAAGCACAGCACATAGGGAAAGTGAAAGAGAGCAGCATTGGATATAGCAGCAATAAGTAAATTGTAAGTGTTTCTTTGTAACTGTACTTGCAGAAATTGTTTGCTTTGCACGTGGTCTTCTGTACAATAACATAAAGAAAAAAATTCAACTAATGTAGATATCACAGTGATTTTGCATACTTTTTTGATTTGTTGAATATAGCTGCTAATTTATGAATGAAGATACTGCTGTTGAGAAAAATTTTTGTGCTTCAAGAAAATGCTGAGGTCCTTGTTTATGACTATATATTGACAGCAGTAAAGTATGTTCAGTATAAGACTGGAGATAATTTTAAAAAATGGCTCCTAGTTTTCAATATTAGGAACACATTGGCCCCTTATTTGGGCAACAGGAATGCAACTGCATTGAAACACAAGCAGAGCAGCACCAAGAACAGGAAAGAACAGGCTTTACCTTGACAACTGTTTCAGATAAAACCAGCTTATTTAAAAAAAAAAAAAAAAAAAAAAAAAAAAGCACTTATACTTGTCTTGATTAGACACGCAGCTTAATAAGTCAAAGTAACTACATTAGGCTGTTGACTTTGGGGATTCAGATTCAGATGCACTACATTTGTGGTTTTTTTAATGTGTCACTTCAATGTCAGAATCAGGCAAAAAAGGTGTTTTGTTGTTAGTTAAAAAAAAACTAATAATCATTTAACCCTACGGAGTGTGGACCACACATTCTTGTGCAGTATATGGGGATTTATTTGTGCACTTATTTTTAAAAAGCCACTGAGTAGCATAGCCAGTGAACTAGCCATGATAGTCTTTGCCTCTTGTGTGACTGCCATGTGACCTCTAGTACACTTTGGGGAGCGGCTCTGTGATTGTACTTGTGGCAACAAATAAAGCACAACTGAACTCTAAGCTGTTACCAACACTCAGCTAAATCGAATACATTGGGTATTTTGAGATTTATGCTAATTGCTATGAGATAATTCCCATGTTAAACTAATTACTTCAGTTGTAATGAATGGACAATATAAAGAATATAGGAATCATAATAGCAACAAAATCCCTTATTTTACAGCTGCACTCTCTGCCTCATTTGATTAACACTAAAGAAGTTACTTAAAAACTAAACAAACAAAACAAGAAGAAAGAAACCTGAGTATGTATTGTAGAAATGTAGAAGACAAATAAAATATTTTTTCATATGTAATTACTTTTAATATATGCTTGTGGAAGGTCCAATATGTATGCTGTCTCTGTAATTTTTGCTGTAAATAACTTGGGACAGTGAATACACTGATTTTTTCTATGTCTCTGTTTAAACATAAGACTTTGTAATGGGTTGTTGTTTTTTTTTTTAAAGAGGAAAAACATCAAAGAGCAAATTATGTACTTGCTTCCTGTAAGTGTAATGTACTCTTCAGTTTTTATGGAAACTGATTGTAATAGATAAAAGCCTTTTGACCAGCCGTTGATATTTAGTGTATGCTTCTGTTCGTAATTGGGAAAAAAATGTGGGATTGTCAGTGAAACGTGATCCCAGCAAGTCTGTACAGCGAGTACAATAATAATTCCTGCAGACTGCATTTAACTGATTTGAAGAAAAGTTGTTTGAGCAAATAATGCTTTCTTATAGCATATGGCTTTTATGAAACCTTCTGACATGACTTATATTAATAGAAACATTTCTCTCTTTCCAATGAGCAAAATATTTTTGTATGCCGTTAATTTCTTATTCTGATTTGAGGTCAGGTCACTCATTAGCTGTAATCTGAAGCCATAACTGATCTTCACCAAATGCACATTTTAAAGATCATAATGGAACAAAGAAATTATGTCCAGTTTATCAACAGCTGCAATGTAATACAGGCAGGAGCATAAATAATGGGCAAAGTATTTAGATGCTTTTCTGGCATCCAAATGTGACTTTAATGGCTAGTATTTTGTGATTACCAATTTATAAAAAATAAAAACATAATTAAGATAGATATTTAGATTTAAATGAAGCTTTCTAATATTTTTGAAATATGTCCCTGAAAATGCTTTTAGGATTATGAGAAGAAATGATTTTTCATATACTTCCCACTTTCAAATATCTAATGTTTTTATCCTATTTCCAGTTCATTTTGTTAGAGTGAAATGAGATGTTAAGACCCAGGATCCAAGCCCTGAGCTATTCGGTGCTTGGCTGTAGTTATATTGTTGTAAATCAATTTAATTTGAATTTTAGGGGTGTGTTGTTTTTTATTTGGTAAGCATGTTTACCACTGTTGGTAACACACAAGAGTTGCATTGCCTGTCAAGAAGTATGATAATAAACAATCTAATAAAATAATGAGTAGCACTCAAAAATTAATCACTCTCAAAAGACAAATAAAAGTTCCTTTCTAAAATCAAATGCCTCATAGAGTCAACAGTGGTTTCTGGGGGGGTGGGGTTTGTGAGATATTTTTTTGTTTGTTTGTTTGGTTTGGTTTGTTGGGTTTTTTTAATAAGCTTAATTGTGTAATAACTGTAATGTATCTTAACTGGCTTGTAGATGCAAAAAGCAGAACTGCAAATGAATCATGACGTACTGGGTAAAAATCTGGCTCCATTGAAACCAGCGGCAAACCCTTCACTGATTTCAACAGTGCCAGGAGTTCATCCAGCATTTTTACATCTGCAATTCTCTTCTGATCTTTCTCCCTTGTTTAATATAATTGACCTTATTTATGTGTATGTGAGTAAAAAGACAGCCTGATTCATTTAGAAAGTGACCATTGAGGGTTTTTTATCATGAATCTTGTAGGACCAGCATACTTGTCAAATGAAAAGGTTCTATATTACTTTAGAATGTAATAGATCTTTGTCTTATTTTATGACCTGTAAATTATTAGTTAAACACTGTTAGCATTTCATAATAATGCACACATGATTTTTGAATGTTTTCTGTAAATGACAATCAATGTTGATGAAGTTCCTTTCTTTAATGCAAAATTAAAAAAAAAAACAAAAACAAACCTATAAGAAAATAAATTCTGTTGTGGGTTTTGGTTTGGGCTTTTTTTTTTTTTCCTCTGTCCCTTTAAAATACCTGTATCTGTCAGGAAAAGGTACAGTGTGTGCATTTTCAAAAGAGAAAATAATCCTTAACATCACATGTTCCTACCCACAGCAGGGGAATTTTAGCTAGATCGACTTTGAGATCTTTTTCCAGCCATAACCATTCTGGGATTCTGTGGTCAGGAGCCTGTACTTAATTTCAAGGGTTTTCATAACCAATAGAATTAGGTATATTGCATATTGCAACATCAATGATAGTAACAGTGGCTTTGCTTTGCATTTTAAGTTACAGCTGTGACTTTTGAATATGGAAATTGTTGTATTTACTAATTTATTTCTCTGTTTATTTGGGGAAAAGCTTCAGCTAGTAAGAAATCAAAACAACATGGAAACAATTTTGTGACAGCAAAATTACACAGTAGTGTAACAGAAGGTTGCTTTACTTAAAAGATACTACTGTATTTAAAATGGTAAATAAGTCAAATATGTTTTAAGTCTGTGTATATCTAGCTGTCACAGCTGTAAGCAGTACTTTTTAATGATACTAACTTCAAATTTTTAGGACCCTAAATTTAAATGTGAAGTAAATTTAAAAACAGCAATATCAAAAGGCCTCATTTTGCAAACTATTAGGCACATGTTTATTAATGTACTGACCTCAGCAGGCTTAATGCATAGGCACATGTTTATTAATGTACTGACCTCAGCAGGCTTAATGCAGTGTTTACACTTACAGCCAGCTACGTTTAAATGGTTTTACATCTGTGGGATAAAAATTACTGGGAGTATAAAGGTAACAGTACATAAATTACGGGGGAAAATACAGTCGCTACTCCGGGCTGGAACGCAGTCAGCATTCCCGACCTCCCGGACACAACACAATCTATGGGGTCTAAAAGGAGGGCAGAGGGGAGACACCACGGCCAGGCTCTGTCAAAACCCTCGAGAAGAGGGAGCTCAGAGTCCTTTCCAGCTGATAACCCTTCCAGCAGCTTAAAAGCAAGAGAGGGAAAGGGCCACGTCCTGCTCTTGGGTCGGCAGCTGTGGGAGAATCTCTGGCACAGGTGCCGCTCCCGAGTTATCCCGGGTGCCATCCTGAGACATCGGCCCTCGGGTACCACCAGCCCTCGGTGTTTGCCCGCCAGCCACGGGCGGAGATGTGGAGATGCGGGAGGGGGAACGGCCCTGGAGCCCCTGCCCCACTGAACTGCCCAGTGAAGGCTCCTCACAAGAGGATGCTGACAGACTGCTCAGGCACAGGGGCCGGGGATTTCCTGGGGCACTGGCAGATAATCACACACCGAGGCTTCAGTAAATCTCCCCTTTCCACGTGGCAGCATCACAGTACAGGGAATGATTTTTGGTTATGGGATGCTGCAAGTGCAGCTTAACTTGATTAGATTTTCAAGTCCCAGATATTTAAGGCTCATTTAGAGGTTTCACATCAATTTGGAAAAATTTCAGACAAGTGTATGGGAGGTTCATATATAAATATTTATATTTCAGATATGATGAAGCTGAAGAGTTTACTAGCTGTATTAAATAAGTGGAGTGCTGCACTTACACATATTATTTTGAGACTCAGTTATATAAAAGTCTTACAGGGCATAACTTACTACACTATTGTGCTGGTTAAATGTCATTTAATATTTCAGTGTGTGCAGGTCCACAACAGATCTCCTCCTACAAGAATGAACTATTGGATACTTTTTTGACATTGCAGGTTCTTGAAGGTAGATGCATATAGGCTTTTTAGAAAGACTATCATGAAATGCATTACACAAAACAGCATTAAATAATTATAGTTCTCAGTCCCAGAAAAATTACATACTTATAGGTGTTCAATTAGTTACAAACCCATGCAAATACAGCTTCCTGGAACATGATGTATCATAGATGTATTAAATCATAACTTACCATGCACTTTAGGCAACATCTTTACAAAAGAAACTGTCTCATGAAGTGTGATCAACATCCTAAAAACAGTCCATCATTTGTGTTCAGTAAATCAAAATCTGCCTAAACAATTTCTCTGCCTCTCTTCCTTCTTAGTACTTCTCTCTTCATCTCATTTCCCATCCTCCTACCCAGCACATCTTGAAAAAGTCCTTTGGATTGCAGATTACTTTGGAAGAACAAACTCTGACTTATTCTGGTGCAGGTGTAGCTGTAATGTTGGTGTTAAGGGCCATGCTTCTGTTTCTGAAAAAAGTGCCTTCCTATGCATGCAGAAGTTTAATTATGGTTTTAATGGTCTGCATGTATGAGAGAAATTAAATTTATAGAAGACATAAGGGCTGCAGTTAGTCCTGATTAAGGGACTGATCCCAGAAGGGTTCTATTCCAATTATAGTGGACAGTCTAATAAAAAAATACTTTTATTATTAAAATATTATTTACCTCCCCCTACAGATGTGCATTAAAAGTGTGCTATGATCTTGGCAAGTACTTCACCTGTGCCTTCAACCTGTAGGGGTGCAATTCAGTTGGCCAGAGAGGTGCACTGGTCCTGTTTGCATTGCCCTTGAGTTCCTTACATGACCTTTTCCTGCTGCTCCTCATAGCTTTCTCCACTACATGGGCATTTCGAATAACCTATGGCAACTCCAGTGTTGCTGTGTGCTAGTGTTCCATAGCAAGTTTAGGTGCATAACATCCATATTTAATATGAATGCCTGGAATTTTGAGTGTATGAAAGTACACAGATTGAACACTATCAGTGATTCAGAAATAATTGCTGTGATTTGCCTTCAAAATCCTCACAACAGTAACTGCATTATGGAGCTTAAGAGAGCACTTCCATGGTCAGTAGATTCAGCCTAGTTCTAGTAAAGTGTCATGTAACATGTTTCCACTTCCACTAATTAATCAATAGCAGATTTGAGCAGATGCTGAATTAGTCTGGAGTTTCCTCAGACTAATAAAAGCAGCCTAATCAGAGTGGTTTAAAAATTGCATTCTCCATCCTGGTGGTTTCGTTGTACTTTGCCATTCAAAAATGTGTTCAGTTATAAAGAGAGCATCACTAAAATTGCAGTTGTAGTTGGTCAGCTTTGTGTGCTTCCCATAAATGACTCAGTGACTGACACAGGCAAGACTTTGTGTATCCCTTGCTGCTTTGTGACAGCATGTCATACACGTAACACTATAAAGTTTTAGCCGATACATGCTGGTATTCCTCTCTCAGCGATAAAAATTTACTGTTGATTTAGAAGTTACATCACTCATTTACTGAGCTTATAATTTTCTCCCCTCTCCCAGTTTTTCTTGCAGCAATGCTTTTAGGAGCACTGTTCCATCAAATGTACAGTCATCAAATGATATCCTGGAAAGTCAGTGGTATTAGCTCGTGTGTGCTTTTTAAACTAACACCATTTGAAAAGAAATCACTACCTCCTCTGTGAAAACAAAGGTGTGTGCTTAAATAACTCTCTGAGTGTAGCTACCCATGCACATTCGTCAAGTGGAGAACATTTTAGCAGGCAAAACTTGTGCAAAAAAAGGCTGCCTTAAGGAAGCCTTATGTCCAAAAACTAAATCAAAATACCTTTCTGTAGATAATTGAGAGGCCAACTAGGAAATGACAACACCACCAAGCTTAAACACTATATTTTAGAAATGCTGACTCCGATCATGGATTATTCATTTCTAGGCAAATAGATTATTTGACATCTGTATATATATTTAGCTATTTCTTGCCAACTTTGAGGAATAAGCACTGATTTCATCTTTATTTTAATATTTTCAGATGTTATCACATAAACACTTATTGTCCTGGCACTTACTACCTCTTTCTCTTGCTTCCATTATTGGATTATTAATGAAATCCACTCTTCTCTCTGAGGACAGTGATTCTTCCAGTGTCTCAGAGTGACTTGTTCTGTGCAGGTTAGTCAGAGCTGTAACAACCTTTAAATCAATAAGGTAAAATTCAGCAGCCCTCTGATTTTATTGAAACAATATGTTGAGAAGCTGTGGCTGTTCACAAATCAGGATTTAAAGTCCTCGCTCCTAACCTTCAATGCTGCATCCTAAAGGATATCCAGCTGTTCTAAAACATGCACCACTGGCACCTTCTCCAAACGCTAGCAAATGTCTGAAATAGGAAGTCTTAACTTCTTCATTTTCTTTTAATTTGACAACATTCAGTGAGTGCAATAGAAACGTGCTCTGGACTTTTAGAGATGTGGAACCTTAAGACCTCTAAGCAAGAGATCATCTGCCAAAAAGCTCCTGAGAGCATTTGTGACTGAAGCTAGTAAAAGTGTGTACAGTCAAAAGATTTAAAAAAATTGCCATCAGTATTGGATCTTGTATTCAAAATTCTGTGGCCACAGTTTTCCTCTCAGCAATAGTGCCTTGGAAAGCAAAAGAAAATTACATAAATATGATGTGTTAGTACATTAAATTTAAACGGGAGCAGTATGTCTTTTATGGAAGGAATCAGCACACATCACAGAAGACAAAAGAAGTTTTGTTTAAACTTCTTCAGTCATTTGATGACTGTATACAACTCATTGTTTAGCACTCAGTGTGAACCAAAATGTGCCCATCGAGTCCCTGCTCCAAAGCACAGACAGTAACTGTGATTCTGTTTTCAATTTATGTAGTTGAACCACTTGAACTAATGCCTGGTCTCTGTTAGCTGAGCATAGGGCATTGAAAGCTTTTGCCATTATCTTTTAAGGCTGTTTCCCAAGAGATTCTGTTTCCAGTACTGTGTTGAACTGGGATCTCTGAGCTGCTGCTCCTTTCAGTATGGAGCACCATTGCAACATAGAAGGTTGCTCTCAACTCACAGTAAAAATGTGTATTTCATCCTGTGTCCAGCAAAGCAGTGGAGGTAGGAGTGTTTCACGTTGAACGGATTCATTCTATTCCATGACAAATTGTGGTTTTCCAGTATTCACAGGTAGCCTGAAGGTATTCATCCCTGCTAATGAGTCAT